TTCATGTTAATTACTTCTGGAAGTTACATAGTTGAGAAGAATAATCATCCATACATTTACACCAAATGTGCTTTTTACATTTAAAAGCGTATCATGCTTCTATCTTCTACCTTACCAGATTTTGAAACTCTCATACAAAGAACATATTGGGGTTCTGAGTAGCAGTTCCCTGTTTGTTTTAATTGGATGTTGGGATATTCATAATACTTATTAAGATATATTGGATCATGAATGGTGACATTATTTATATAAAGTATAACAATAAAAGGGCTGAAGATCACTGATGATAGTTTGAATCGACAATAAAGAATAAACTTTCCAGTTTCTCTGAAGATTTCTACATTTATCAGATTACCAAACAGGTGAAGAATTTCAATTTTTTTTGAAGAATACAAGCATATCATAAAAATTAAAAAAATTAAAATGTTACAGCTTGCCAAATGTACTTGACCGCCAAATACAGGTCAGAGATTTATCAACTTTCACAGAATAATTTGGTCCCTAAAACTTTTCTCTACACTCAATGGTGACCAAAATGGTTCCTGCAAGAGCACTAATGTATATGCTCAAGCCCAATAAAGTAAGAACAACTAAAACATCTTTGACATCTCAAGTGACTTGATAGTAAATAGGAAAATACCTTAATACCTTCCCTTGCACTAAAATGTGCAATTTTGACAAATGTTCAAAGTTAGAATGGGGAAGGAAAGCCATCAAGAAACCTTGATAACAAAAGACCAATACAGAAACAAAGACCCAAGCATTTGAAATAATGGGTCCAAGAATTTTTCATTGCCATATCCTTACAGCATTATAAAACCAAGTGTTAGAACTGGCAAGGGGGCAAGCAACATGCACCTTAGGACATTACAGACATAAATGGACTGTAAAACTTGATACCTGAACACCCACTGTCTTCTATCAACAACATCCACAAGTTAACTTCACTTCACTATTTCAATTTTGTTACATTTACAAATCCCGTTGTTTAAAAAGTCACTAGCTATCATAAGCTAAAGTTTTCAGCACCAATGGTGCAGTCACATACAAAACATGTGCTTATCATGCAGGTTTGAAGTGAATTGAGCGTGACTTTTTTTTCCTTGCTCAAGAATGCTAAACGAACCTCTCAGTCAGATGTTGAGTGATTGTTATTAACAGGGATTCCTACTAAGGCAATTACATTCACAGATACTGTTATTTATTTAGTCCCTAGCGTGTTTCAAACAACAAAGAAAATAAAAGAGGCTTTGAGAAGTATGGTTTATCGAGACAGCGCGTAGAGTTTTTCTTTGTCTTTTTTCAAACGTGCGTGAGCTTTTGCGGATATTTGAAAGTTTTCCAGCTGAGAAAGCCGATCTTGTACAATAGGCTGAGCAACAAGATTGGAAGATTTATAAAAGAAAAGAAAAAGTGTAAACAGTATTCAAACGCATAATTCTGGCTCTAATGCCCAAAAACACAGACCATGATTGTTTTGCGTCTTTTTGTCTTTACAAAAGAACAACTACATTGAACCGTAAGCTTCAAAGCAAGCTGAGAAAAACTGAGCTTTTGTCAATCGTCAAACAAAAAAATTGCAGCATCGAGTTCCCATTGGAAAAGATGTCGAAATAAAACACGATATGAAAGTCACGATTTTAAAACTTTCATCAAAATTAGCTTATACTATCTGAAGCACAATGGCAACACATGAAGTTATTTGACCTACAAGAAAAATACCGCTTTGTCCTTATCTCGCAGAATTGATGTCTCGCGTCAATATGCACCTTGCTTCGATTGGTCTCAGAAGTTTACCGGTGTCGTGTAACACACAAACCGAAATCACAACATAACTTTTGATTTCTTCAACGTTTTATTATTTATCGATAAAACAACCTTGCGAATTAAACCACAAGAAAACATGTTGATTCCCCACAGAAGTCATAACTTGATACACACATGTCGTTTATAAACGACGCCAGATTGAACGTAAGAAACATGCAAAGTGTTATCTGAGTAAATTATACGGCAAACAGAGGTAGATAACGACAGAAATGTGGGTAAATAACACTCGAAGCTAATTTATGTCGCCTTTTACCCATGGGAAGATTTTCGTACGTATGACATTAGTCTCAAACATAACAAAGATAGGCGCTTTTGATCGGTGTGGAAAAATTCGAGAGTGGCTCCGGCTCATTTTTAAAAAATACAAAAAGAGATTATTTTCCGTTAAAAAGCCAACTTTATTCGAGTGAAATTACAGTTAAAGATGTTTCAAAACAAAGCACAGAGAATGAATTCGTTCTTTGGTTCAAAATTCATAAAGTGAGATGTAATTTCGCACATTTGGCCCAATTTATTGTGGTCATTGTATTTTTTAATATGAAGCTCTCATTACCAAAACTTTTAGTTTAGTGACGAGAGCTTTTTAAAGAGGAGACTCAAAATTTGAATTGCTTTTAAAACCATTAGTAATTTAGATCTCGACATCAAGGTTCAAAACGAGATTCGATGTAATACCGAGTTGCGAAGGAAATTATACATCTCAACTCGCTATCTTCTTACGAGACTGAAGAAAATCTGTAGCTTCCGTTCTCACAAAAGCCTCGTAATCCTCTCGTTATCGACCTAACACGTTTACAAGTTTCTTCCCGAATATTCGTTAGCGAGAAAATAATAGAGGATAAATTTAGGAGCGAGGAGTTCAAATAAACCCAGCGAACCAGAAGCTGTTTATGTCTACTCAGCTAATAGCCAGCAGGCTAGCGTCTACGAGATGCCATGGATTACTCGGGCGCCAAACCTTATGTTAGTAATTTAACTGGTCGCAAGACCATCACAAGACTAGTTCTAAAGAATGCATTAAGAAAATTAACCTACAAACACAAGAAGCTTGGTAAACATAAAGCACAAAAATGGACACACTTCAAAAGCGTTGTTCACACAGAACTTGCTATATTCAGTAGGATAACAATACCTACCGAACGCGACCACTCGGGGAACGATGTCTAAAGTTGTAGTCTCTGCTCTGTGTTATTTGTTTTTCCCTTTTATCCTTTCCTGAAATCGAAACGAACGTTCCCCACACTGAAAACCTTTAAAGAAGTAATGAAGACATGACCATTATTAACGATAGCGGAGCTTCTGAAACACTCTCAATTCGGCGACCTCGTGACATATGTCAATCACTCAATCATAATACAATTGTGCGTTGAACGCGCCAATCTATTATTTTCCTTAGCAGGTCGCAAAGACAATAGCTGTCGGGCTGTTCTAAATCGTTTTGTTTGTATCTCGCGCAAAAATAGTATGATGATCCTTCAAAAAACGTTTAATAGCGAAGAAGGTAATTTTGGAAATCGTATTAGGAAAGAAATTGTTGATGGAAACACAGTGAGATTGTGAGCGTGATTTCCGCCGGAAGTTAAGATTTTAAACATGACTGCAATTTTGATAAAAGAATCTTAAATGCGATAATGAAAAGCTTTTATTTAAACGAGGAAAGAGCGTGTTTACCTTACCCTCGAACTTAAAGACTCACTTTTGAATAATGAAAAAATCTGTCTACTGGTATCCTCTCTAATGCCGCAAATTGTCAATGTTTACAAACTGTCTTCTGCACAGGTGAATCGCCAACTTGGGAGCGGTTCCGTCTCTGTGATAAAATTATTTCAACTGCGTCTCCGCCGAAAAATTAAATACAAAGGCACTTTAGGAATGGATAGCGCCTCTGTTTCTTTAATTGACATGCAAACTACGAGCGATTTAGAATATTCAGTTTCAGAGCAGACTGTTTCCTTAGTATTTACGTTAAGTCTGTCAGGTGGTCTGATAAATCCAGTTAGTTTTAACGAAGTTCTTCAAAATTTATTAGATTTTCATGCCAACTTAAAGATGCAAAACTCGCGGCTAAATTTCCTTTGAGCTGCTTAAACCAATTAACCGGTTGGCAATTAGATTATGAAAAATTCCGAATCACATGTAAATTGTACTCATGTGATCGAGGTGTAATTAGCAAGAAAAGCCACAATAGGGCCAGAAAAACTCATTCATTTTCCCGCATTGTTTTCTTGTGCTGTTTTAAACAATTGCTTGGGAAATGTTTTTTAGCCTTTGAGAAACTGTATATTTTTTTCTCTCTCTTAGTAAAGGAACCGCCCGTCAAAACATTCTGAGAACTCGTACCACTGACAGAGAACCATCACAGATCTATGAAAACACAATTTAAATCTTTGTGCCATCATCAAAAACGGGTATATGTGAACCTGATTTACAAATGCACTTTATTATTTATGTACTTTTGCGTTTTAACATGGAAATATAAAAAAAGATAAAGAAACCCTGAGCAAAAAGACAGAAAAACTCAAAAACAGGGAAAATTGGTTTCTTAGCCGGAAAAACAGAGTGGTGATGAAAAAGCTAGACTGCATGTGACACTGTACGTGTTGCACAGCTGACAGGGACCATCAGAGATTTACCATTCATGATACGTTTTTTTCAGTTTTCTTTTTGTTTCAGTGGTTGATTCGTTTTGTTTTGACTCAACTCTCAGATTTTGATTTCACAATGAAAATTTAATCACCCAACCTGGCATACATCTCTACTTATTGAGCACGATTTATCAAAACTCCCGTTTTAAGACTCTACAACACTGCATAAAAATGGCGATATCAATCTAGCCTTACCTCGACCTCGTGTTAGCAAAATAATCCCGCTTTGTAAAATTTTCTGCCCTTTTAAATTTTTCAGAGGATATACGGCGCCACTTCGTTTGGTTTTGAGTTTTTCGTCCTTTTTGGGAGTGGCTTCTAATTACGGATGGTAAAGAATGTAGACAACAGGTGATGTATATTCTTACCATGGGACATTTTCAATCCCACACCCTACGCCGGTACCACCCACGTACTTAGAGACCACAAATAAGAGAAAGAATGAGAGGAGACTGAGACCTAGTTCCGGCGCTTTCCCTTCCCCAACATACTTTGCGTGCTTTACCGGAAGTGACGCCTGTACAGAAATCAACATGTCGGCGACCTGTACGTCAAGCTATCCTACAAGTTTCTTGTTTGTCAATTAGGAACGATTCAGAAATGGCAATGGAACAAACCTGTTCCTTTCTTCTATGTATTATCTGCATATCAGAGTATTTTCTGCCTATTTGTGGAACACTTGTGTTACATGAGTCTTCAAATATTCTCGAGTATCGCAACGCCTCCATGGGACATACTGTAAATGGAGTTGTCTCCCAGCACAGGGAACAAGTCTGGCTCTACTCCTGGATTAACAAGACTGAGGTGAATTTAGTTGATGACGCTTCGATAAATTTCACGGTCAGATTTCCGTAAAGCCTCATACAGTTATATTACAAAGCTGTAGTCCCTTTAGAAATCTAATGTTTCCGCTGTCGTTCTCTTTTCCCAAAAATTGTGATAATAATGAACTATGGGACTGTTTGGACTCTTACCCCTCTTCAACCCCAATATCCAATAAGTAATTCTCCTGACGGACTTCCATACATTCCTTGTAAACTAAACTGGTGAGTTTGAGGTTTTACAAAGCTAACACCAGATTAGTGCAGAATTAGAAAAATTGTAAAATTATAAAATTGTAAAATTTATGGAACAAATGTAGGTTCTCTTTTGGTTTGTTTCAGATATTCATTATCAATAAACTCAGAGAAGGGTGAACCCCTGAAATGACTTGAAAATGATTGTGTAGTTATGTTTGGTCTAACTTCTTCTGAATTTAGCATTGCAGCATGCTTGCTATGTTTGCACTTATGTTTTTATACAATTGAGTTGTATTTTATGAAATGGAGATATTATGTTTTATATATAATTTGTAGTTCTATTCTTGTACCAAATAAAGTTACTGAAAACTTAATTGTTTTCCCAGCCTTATGCAGTTCGAGTGACAGTGGAAAGTCAATCAGCTAATCAGGATTATCCGTTGCTGTTTGTTGCACGGCTGCAGAGAGGAGTGGTTTCATGGCCAATACCAGTTGAGGGGTGAGAGAAAAAAACCAACAATTTACAAAGGTCCACTGGTGATTTGTTGGAACAGAAGCCAAAAAAAGTTGGTCTGGTTTGATAAAAATGCCCCCCAAAAAAAAAAAAAAAAAAAAAAACAGCAGAAAAGTCAATCGACATCAAACAAAGTATGTCCTGAAAAATTGTTTTTGTTGCTTTTTGAAATTCTTTTGAGCAGAAATTTCAACTGTAAGCCTCAATCGTAAGTCTGAAATGTAATTTTTCATACTCCTGTCCAGAGATATCAAACCAAGCATAGTGAGGTTATAATTAGTGGTGATATGTAATACGAAAGAGCTCTATACTATTGATTGCCTTTGTAACTAGGGGTATCTTTGGTAAGCAACTGCTCCCAGGACACTTAAAAGGTGCACATAACTGGAGTTAGCGCACTGCTGGAAGAGTTGTTAGTAATTGCTGAAAGACGAATTATGTTATCATGCACTTAGGTCAGCTTTTAAACTTTAAAATTCCTGCATAGGAGGGAAACCTTATAACTGATGCATTGTACATTATATTTTGAGTTTATATTTGGAGAAATTTCTTTTGCAGGTTTAATTACAATCTTGTCAGTCGAACACTTTGCCCCTTCAGTCATGGTATCACACAATTAAATAGATCAGAAGCAATTTCCATTGATGTATCAACATCATCACAGAAGCCAGTCAATTACTCTCTCAAAGCAATGTTTGCTGACAAATTTCAGTTATCGTGAGTATCATGAGTTAGGTAATAAGTTGTATATGATAGTCACAAAAGATATGAAAGTTTCAAGATGCTCAATGAGAAACTAACTGTCTTGGAGATGCAATAGTAAGTAAAGCCTTTATACGGGCCCAAGTAGCCCATGGGGCAGGTGCTTATCTCCAGTTTTCTAAGCATGAAGTGGCTAGGAGTATTGCTACCCCACCTGGATGGGATGCTAGTCGCAGGGTTACCCCCAGCACATTTGCTGGTACCCATTTGTACACCTGGGTGAAGAGAAGCACTGTGAGAGTAAAGTGTCTTGCCTAAGAACACAACACAGTGACCCCGGCCAGGGCTCAAACCCAGACCACCTAATCTGGAGTCGAGCGCACTAACCATGAGGCCACTGCACCTCCACCGGAGATGCAATAATGAACCAAAATTTTATACTTTTGCTTGCTTTAACAAAGCTGTGGAGTCTAACTGAGAACTTAAAAATCACCTGCAGTGATGGCTATTTCCTCACATAAGCCCTGCAGAGCAGGGAAAAGTGGTGATTTAAGTTAGTCATCATGTTTTGTTTTTTGTGTCTAATAACAATGAATACAATGATTGTAACACTTATTTAAAGAGGAAAAATTGTTAGATTTTGTCCACGTTAATATAGATAAGCTAATTGAGTCATTTAATTTTTAAAGTACTGGATTAAAAGTTAAGTTTGGAAAGGAGCTTTTCTTGGAGATATTTATGAGGTTATAGGGGTTTTAATCAAATCAGGAAGGATAAGCTAACAGTTGGTCAATCTTTTTAATTTTTCAGTATTGATTGAATAATGGAAAATTTATATTTCCTACTACACTGTACATGCTAATTTTTGGACAAGTCAAATATTTTTTTCTTTGCGTAACATGAAAATTCAAAATTTTTTTATAGGATGAATACACCATTAACAGTTACAGTGGACCCTGCGCAACCTGTGGTAAGATAATCTTTAGATAAATGTAGATTTATTTACTAACTATCCAGTATCAATAATAAATGGTTTGTCTAAAACACTTGGTTATAGATGTTTTTATAGAGGGGTAGCTCTTTTTTCACAAGCTTGCACATAGCATACTGTTAAAAGCTCTTGATTTTTAAGTAGTCAATTTATACTCAGTTACAAGATGTGGTATGAGTGAAACATATGCATTAGGAAGTACAGGCAACAAGAGGTAACAAGAAATTGGAAAATTATTTTGCTACTATGCAGAATTCTCCAGCTAAATTTTGCAGAGAATAATCTTCCACCTTTCCATCCACTCTTTTTTTTTCCTGTTTTCCCTGACTTGCATGGGCCAATAATTTTTTTCATTTAACTTTTGACAGTATTTCTTATGGAGGTATCCAAAAGAAGTGGATACAGTTGTTATTAAGGCTGAATCCAAGGATTATAAACTGTGTGCCATTCTATCAGTCCAGGGAACTACGGTTTGTCTTTATTTTTCCTTTTATGATTGGAATCTTAAGTTTACTGCAAGACTCTGAAAATTTTGATTTGGTTTTGATCCATCGACTGTGTACTGACCAGTGATTGTGAGGCTTAGGAAGCAAGAACAAACCTAAAAACTACAAACCAATTTTTTTTTTGCTGTTTTTCCTGTTCTCTCTAACCTGTGTTTACAGTTTCTGAGTTTTATTAGTGCTCTACAGACTACCCTGCAGAAAACACACAATTATTTAAACAGAAATGTGTAGAGTTTAAAAACTGATATTTTTTGTTGCACAATATTTATCAGTGTCCAGTGTATGATTTGGCAAGAAATGTGGAATTCACAGGCCACTTTCAGACTATGACAACCAAAGCAGCAATCACACTAGAGGTAAATCATTGTGGTTAAATATTTTGAAACATCACACCTTGCTCATTCTTTGTATTTGTACACTTTTGAAGATTCCTGATGGCAAAATTTTCAGTGTGGATCTAAATGTAATGCTAAAGCTAAGGAAAAGTGACAAGGGTCGTAGCTCAAAACCAAGTCACTACAATTATCTCTTCCTTGAATTTAAAAAAGATGAACAAAAACAGCTTTTCTTGATTAATAACATGTACACTTTTTAGAAAAGGGCTTCATGCAGTGGTTTATGGAGGGGCTATTCCAAGATTTAGAACTTTAAGGTTTATATTTATTCTAATGAGTTGACTGGAAAATCCTTGCTGTTCTACTTGTGTCTTATTTTATTTTGTTTTTGTCATCAGCATAATCAGACCCAGTTTTATGTTGTACTGATAGTCAAGTCATCTGATGAGGAATGTGTCTCTGGAGAAAGGTTTGCTGAACCACGCACTGGAGAACCAGTGTCAAAAGATCCTCATTCTGCAGGTAATGTAATGAATTTACAGGTCAGATGATAAAATTTTATTACCTATTTAGACAGTTATTATATAAATGTAGTGTTATAAAAGTGACAGTCACTAAATGAGCAGAGTTTTAAATTAACTATTCCTTGAGAGCCCTCTCATTGTTGCCTCCCTTATTAATTATCAATCAGAGAAAAATTAGCTTCCTCCAAAATTATTATTTATTTGTAATAATTATTGAATTTGATAGACACTTAACCCTTTAACTCCCATGAGTGACCAAGACAGAATTTCTCCTTACAATATCACTACAATATCAAGCAGGCAAGAGATGAGAATAAAGAAAAATATCAGTTGGGGATTATAAGTTGATCCAATAACAAATTCTCCAAACTAACATCACAAGAACTGTATGAGAGACAGTAAGGAGAATTACTAATGAGATCTTGGGAGCTAAAGGGTTAAAGGTGAAAATCTCATGACATTTCAGGTCCATCGTCCCAAAGACAGAAGACTGTCACAATAACCGTGGAGAGTACTTTGTCTGGTAAGTCCTTTCTCTCAAGTATCTCTTTATTAAATTCATAATTCCAAAAACATTGTGGTAATCAGTTACCAATCTTCTCTTTCTCCACAGAAAAGGACTATGTGAAGGCCATAGTGGCTCCAGTATTGTTCTTCGGGTCATTCTATATCATTGCCTTTTCTTTTCTTCTGTTTACCTGGTGTAGGTGAGTACCTCAGTGTTAAGTAGTAAATAATCACTTAGAATGTAATCTTCAGACAATAAAATGGCTGCACTGTTTTACTACTTGCACCAAGAACTGACTTGAAAATTTCTGTCTATGTTTTGCTATCTCAATGCACTGCTTAGAAATTTTCAAATCTGTGAACCTTATTGGGTTACTCATCACAAATTTATTTTGGAAATAGGATTTTGGGCAAAATTTTCCCTTTGAATGATATTTTGTGAAGGGTGATGGCCCCAGCTACAAATGCAACCAAACTGAAAGTTCTGAAGTTCTGACAAATTTTTATTGGATTGTATCATTAGACAAAAGAGAGGAAGGAAGAGTTTCCGCTCCATTTTGATGCCAAAAGAGAGCAACAACAAAGGTACGTAGGGCTTGTTTAACAAGGTAATTTTTCTCTTTAGTGTGAACAGCACATCATTTGCTGTGACACTTTCTTCTTCCAGGAGCAATTTAAGATTTCTAGATCACTGTTCCAAAACAGCATATCAAATACTGTACCTGTATTATACAAAGCCAAGCAGTAGGCAGGGTATTTGTCACATGTAATAATTTTGCTTTGATGTCACTGAGCCACTGTAAGTTTTTTTTGGCTCAGAACATTTTTCAGGTCATAGATTAAGACACCCATTGAGCACCTGAATTTTTTTCTCCAAGTATACCTGTATCACTAACAGGAGCACATCAATTCATCCTTGAATTTCTTTTCTGAGATCTTTCTTAGTTGAAAAAATTAAATGTTTTAGGTGACAGTTCCATTGCCCCCGTCCTCTCTCTCTCTCCCTGGTCATTTTCTGTCCACTGGCTGACAGTTGGCTTATGGCAGCTACATAAGCACTCATGAGTCAAGGATACACCCCAGTAATCCAGGCGTCTGCTGACTTACCGGTATTGTTGGATTATGGAAACTATATAATCATTTTTAAGTCCAGGTTAATCCAGAGCAATCAAGGCCTTCTTAATTTCAATTCAAAATCATTTTGTTTGCCTCAGATGCTCCAATAAGTGCACCACTAAGAACATCCTCATCAAGAAGATCAAGAAGATCAAGAGACCATTATGGATCAACACCACAAGGCATCTTTCCCATCAATGAACCGCTGGACACTGATAGTCTGGAACACTCTGAAAATGACCACTTAGTCACTGATGGAGTGATGGATCCATCATCGAAGGATTTTGAGAAACATTATGACATGCTGCATGACATTGAAGTGGAGAAAGATGTATACCGGTTGAGGGTATGTAGATTTGGCGATGGTTAAATTTGGTTATAATGTAGTAAATGGGATTTGCACCAAGGCAGCATCAGGAATAGAACGTATTCATCTTAAATTAGTAGTTGCAACACAGGTGACATTCCTATTGATTTGAAAACTAGCTAGTTTAAATTGATGATGTAAACTAATCTTATGGAACAACTTACTGATTAGATATTTTTAAGTTAGTTACATGTAAGTCCATGATCCACTAGAAATAAATGAAAGTAAGATTCCATGGATGGTACTTCCAAGAGGTGTACAGTAGCTATTTGTCCACTGTTACTGGGTCAAATCGAAATTCTGAGTGCTGGTTTTTGTGGAAGGAGTAAAACCTGAGAATGATCAGAAAAAGACCTTGGAAAAAGGATAAGAAACAACAGCAACCTCAACCCATGTGTGATAGAAAGTGTGGCCAGGATCCCATAGCTGTAAGTCATAGAAGTTAAGGGGGGAGGGTGGGGCTTTATCATGGCTGTGTTAGCTCAGCTTCCCTTCCATCAATGGTAAAGTATTGTCATTATATAAGTAAGATTAGTTTCATTTGTTTCATTTTTCCACCAGACAAGTCTTATGCTCACTGACCTGGCTAAGAAAGAAAAGAAGTATCTGAAGAAGAAATACAGACACTATCACTGGTTTGTAAATTAAGCCTGTTATTGATTTTTGTTTCAGTATTACCTATTTATTGACTGTACTCTCATTGCTATCTTCAGGAATCTGCTATTGATAGCTGTGTTTTATGCTCTCCCTGTTGTGCAGCTTGTCATAACATATCAGAAGGTATGTCTGGTTACTCACTTCTTGTTTTCAAGAGCATTTACCCTTGCTATCTTACCTGCTTGGAAAGCCAGCCATGTAATAATGAAAGTATTGCACAGAGAAATTGCTGATAAACTGAGTGCAGTCCAAACCCACTGGCAAACTGGCACTGGTAAACTGGCAATCAAAATGTCGCAATCCACATCTGCAGTGACCACACTGAAGGACGAATTTTTATACTTCTCTTTTGAAACTGGGTGTAGTTTTATGAGGGTTGCTTCTGATAAACTATTTTGTTAATTGGAAGGTTTGTTCTAATTTTGAATGCAGGTTCTTAACTTTAGTGGAGATGAAGACATATGCTACTACAACTTCTTTTGTGCTCATCCCTTGGGGGTGTTGAGGTATGTCAATGAGCAATTCATTCTGTGATGAGCAACCCTTTCATTCCATGTTGCAACAGTATGAGAAAGATTTTTAACCCTTAAGCCAAACAATAATCCGTTTTTCATTTTATATTATCCAGGTAAATTCTCTTCTTCAACTCGTATCAAGATACAATATATTAAGTTGTTGAGTTAGCTGTGCACTGTGCCAGTAAAACTTATCAAATTGGCAATGAGCTTGGAAACTGATGCTCGGTATCTATATTCATATCTTTCCATTGCAGTGCGTTTAACAATGTGTTCAGTAACATTGGATATATCATGTTGGGTTTTCTCTTCCTTCTTCTTGTATTGCGACGGTATGTACACTGAAAAAATTTTGCTAAAAAATTGGCTGTCAGATGATTACATTCTTTCCGGAAAGTAGAAGGACTTTGTTTTGAACTGTATCTTTGTACAGTCATGTACGTTCACAGTTGTTTCTAGGTTATTACATCATTTTTATTTACAATGTACACATTCGGAACTGAAGGCTTGTTTTTCCTTAATACATGGTGTTTTGCAACTTTCTTGTCACGTTTATGACATCTCATATATATTTTTTTCAGTGACAGGCAACACAAACTAGATGTTGCAGAAAACAGCGAATTGGAGAAGGTATTTTTAAGCGCGTCAATTTTAATTACATCGTTTAAACTGCACTACTCTACATAGTGTGTCTATTCTTAAATTAAACATTTTGGATTTTTTAACGTGCAATGGAAGTGAATCGCGTATTACTCTTAAATAAGTCAGGTAAATTTTGATGGCTAAAAAAATCAGCAAAAATTAATAGACAGGACGTGGAAAGTTTACAAGAGCAAGGACATTTTTTCCTAAAGTGAGCGAATTGATTAAGTCCGTCTCGTTGAGTAATTGAAACCAGGTACTTCTTAAATGTATGGTAAACTTTCTGTACACTTACGTTCTTTTTTCAGAATTACGGCATTCCTCAGCATTACGCCATATTTTATGCCATGGGTGAGTGTATCGGTTTTTTGGCCCTTTTCAGTCTGTTTTCAGTCAAGTGTAGAGCGTAATCCATACGTAATCCAGGATTGCTTTGGTCTGTGATTGGTCCAGAAAAGTCGCGCCTCTCTTTCATGCAACCAATCAGATCAAAACTAACGACAATCACCGCTTGTTGGTCACTTGGTTTTTCCCGCGCTCCACATAATTAGCTTGTTTTTACTTTGAGTCCATATTAGTTCCTGATAGCATCTATTTTGGTTTTACAATATTCAATCCGGCGAAATACCGTGTATATCACCATTTTCAGTCATCGCCTTGGTAGTTCCACAGCTTTGTGGCCCAGAATTACAGGGAATACCTTCGTTTCACTTTCTCTTGACTTTTACAGCTTCTTTGGTTTTATCGCAGGTCTTGCCTTGATAATGGAAGGAGTTTTATCAGGCTGTTATCATGTGTGTCCTAACAATTCTAATTTCCAGTTTGGTAAGTTTTCCCAGCCCAAGATGAGAGTCTTATAGTTTTCAATCTTACAAACTGGACGCAGACGCCTGTGAGAACGCTTATTTTTAAGGTTACTGTATATCAACTAACTTTATACATTTGAAGCTGTCTTGGAAGTGAAAACGCATGCTAGGCAAAATTCAGAAGTCGCCGAAAAGTGTAACATCTTACTCGACCGCACGCTGTTCAAAATGTAAGAACAGTACTGCAGAATCCCTCTCTATCTTGTTGCAATACAGATAAGGAGTACACCGTCATATCGCCTTCAAACGAGGTGATAAATATTTTCTTTTTGTGTTTTCCTGTAGACACGTCTTTTATGTACATCATCACTTGTCTGGGTGTAGTAAAACTTTATCAGACGCGTCATCCAGACATTGCCGCCAACGCGCACATTGTTTACACAGGGTTTGCTGCTATCATCTTCATCGCTATGATTGGAGTGGTGAGAATAAAGTTTACGATATTCAGCTATTCTTTCTCGCACTCTTGCAAACAGAGGAACCGCTTGAAGGTCTAAGATGTGATTTTTATTAAGAGAGATGTTGAATATGTGTTGCTAGCGGTGGTAAGTTATACCAACAGACGTAAAAAAGAACTCTGATAAGCTGAGCAACTTCTAGGGTTCACAAGGGACAAGTTTTCTGTGTTCTGTCACAATAATCAAGTGAGATTTTGGATTTTTTTTTTTTTTTTTTTTTTTTGGGGGGGGGGGGGTATGAGATATACTGAAGTGCAGATCTTGATTGTTTCCCTCTCATTCAAGGTTTATAGTTCTTTTGCTTTCTGGACAACATTCGCCATTATCCACATCTTTGGATGCCTGTATCTCAGTTCACAAATCTATTACATGGGAAGAGTCAAGTTTGGTGAGTTCTGGATAGTAAATGTTAAAGTTTATTTGGTTATTTTAGGCATTGTTTTGGTTAGAATTTGTCTAATTTATGACTCTATGGAAGGCATATTACTTTAAGATACTGTAGGATTGAACTTGAAAATGCTTTTGTGAATTTTTTTTCACCTTCAGATGCTGGAATGTTTGCAAGAGTGTTCGTGTTGCTGCGGTATGATTGCTGTTCGTGTCCGGTTTACAAGGTAAAATTATAAAAATGTCTTTGTCTCAGTTCTAATTTTGTCTAAAGGAAGAGACTTTGACACATACACAAACCTTTTGATGTGGGTAACATTTTTCGCGCGAGCCTAACGAAGTTGTGCTTTTAGACGTTTAAAATAGGATGTGTACATCAGAGAAAAAAGGTTGCTGAGGTTAAAGAGAAGAAATGAAAGGTTTTCGTGGCAGGAAAATCCCTATTTTTTTTCAAGGCTTTTGTAGCTGTGGGCTTTGGCGAGTGGTGATTGCCTCTTTTAGTGGTCAAGTCTTGACTGAAATTAACAAAGCTATTGTTGTTGTATTTTGTCTCCTGTTTGCGCAGGATCGCATGCTTCTCTTGGTGATTGCTAACGCAGTGAATTGGGTCTTGTAAGTACGCTGTAACTGTATTGTTAGGCATTGTAATACATTAGAACGATGTTAAGTTGGTTTTTATGTAACCAAATCCAACGAATTTACAACAGCCAATCAGAGGAAGGGAAATATCACGGGGAACCAATGAGAGCTCAACCCAAAAATGAGCTAACAGTCTGAAGCGCGGGAAAACACGAGTAACGAAGGGACGATTGGTTTTCGTTTTGTATCTGATTGGTCGAGAGGATGGTGCGCGTTTTTGGACCAATCAGGAAAACCAAAGCGTTCTATAAACAACAGCTGGAGAAGACCAAGAAAACTAGTTCTTTAAGTGAGTTCTTTATTCCACTTGCAGTGCCATCTATGGTGTTGTTGCTACACCTAATGACTTTGCTACCTACCTGCTGGCTATCTTGATCGTCAATGGACTTCTCTATTTGGCATTTTATGTCATAATGAAGGTATCCATACATGAGTTGATTGAGTTAAGTTGTTATCGACCGAAGACAATGCAAGGCTAGGGGTTTATGGTATGTCCTACTACGCATGTCACTACGAGCATTCCCTTTTACTCGGCGAAGACTGTCGCGCGAGCAACAAAAACTCATCGGGAAAAAATGTTAGCGCGCCAAGCGGAACTCTGGGAGTGAGGCGCGCTAACCTCATTTTATTTTTTTTCATGCCGAATAGGAGGGACTGCTTGTACTCTATCCTGTCCGACCTTCTGTTCCTCGATGACTTGATTTGCCTAGATTCTTTCAGCACTTACAACTTGAGACATGATCTTCCTTGCTAAAAGTATCATATTTTTTTAAGGTTTTGGAGAAGGGCGTCTTCCCATAGTTTATTTAAGAAATGTCTTTGTGTATTTATTCTTTCAGTTGAGAAACAAAGAAAGGCTTCTATTGTTCCCTTCGGTTACGCTTTGTCTGACGCTTTTCTGTTGGATATTAGCGCTCGTTTTTTTCCTGAGTAATCTCACGTCTTGGCAGGTAAATGAAACATGGATTCAACCTTTAAACCTTCCAAAGTCTGTCAAACTCCACCACTTATAGATCTGTTATTCCGGTTTTCGCAGCATGAATGAAACGTTTCAACAATGTTCTTAGTCCTTTTGAGAGTAACGAATGCAATCTTGCTAATCCATCGGTCTACAATCGTTCAATAGCCGGCCCATCAAATTGCAGTCGACTGTCGACCGAATGGTCGGTCACCACGTTCGGGGATGTGTCCGTGTGTGTCTGCGCTCGTTTTTGAAACTTTATAACATAATCTTTTTACCTGGTCAATAATGCCGTAATTTTCTTGCTCCCATAGCATTTTGTTAGGTTCCCCTTCCCCCCGCTCCTTTTACAAGAAAGTCCCGTTCCCTCATTCAGCAAGTTACGCGACTTCCATGATTAGACGCAAAAGGTCGCGGTTCGTACTCGTTCCCTCTGTGTACCATATTCCGCTTTTCTGAATCTTTTGCAGAAATCTCCAGCGCGGTCGAGGGAGGGTAACAAAGAGTGCGTCCTCCTGGGATTTTACGATGCTCATGACGTGTGGCACTTCCTGTCCGCCTGCGCTTTATTCCTTTCATTTCTGGTAAGCACTCATTTGCATTTCTTTTCGTGACGATTTAATTTTCAATAAAGTGTCGAAAAGTTATCCTGAATTGTATTGGCTTTGCTTCTCTTTTCTCTCTGATTGGTGTAGAAAACTTGATCCCCTCTATCAACCAATCAGGTGCAAAACTAAACCAATCGTGGCTTGGTCACCCGCGTTTTCCCGCGCTTGAGAATGTTCCGAGTTCTACTTCGCTTTCAAAACAATTTCCTTTCTTTCCTTCGCGATTGCTTTGTTGTTTTACCGCATGCCAGTTGCAACGACCAATCATTCTAAAAGTTAGTTTGTGCATTATGCTTACGAGTTTGTCTTTACAGGGTTTGTTGACGCTGGATGATGACTTGCTCGAAACGCCAAGACATCGCATCCCTGTATTTTGACAAGCTATCTGCATCGCTGGATGTGTTTTGGCAGTTTGAAGTTAGTTAACTGACATAGTTAACCTAGGTAAACCCGTCAACTGAAGTTGTTATAAATGGGTGCCCTGGGCAACTAAAAATTAGCAATTAAGGAAAAAATAACCATAACAGATGAACCATCAGAAACATGTGAAAACTCTTGATGGATAAAAACTAAGAATTGTAAATCATTGTTTATTAGCAGAAAGATGACAAGGGAATAGAAAAATATCAGCAGGGAGATATTTTATGATTTCAAATCAAATTCCCAGAGTTTAAAATTACATGAAGTGTTTGGTAGATAGTATAGAAAGAAGTAGTTGGACTCTCCTGCCGGTCGCCCAAACTCCCTTGATTAGGAGCCTGGGAAGGAGGAAATTACGGAGCACTTAGAGCTCTCGGGCCCAGGGCCCAGTTGTTCGAAGGCCGATTAGCGCTAACCCAGGGTTAGATTTTAGTCTGGGTTTCTTTATTCCTTTACTCTAAAGCCTTTTTGGGAAAATTTTCAATGTCCTTTTTAAAGCATCAAATAGTCATACTCTTGACAAAAAGAATTCGACTGAATTTTCTTTTAAAGCTTTTAGATCTGAAATCGGATTTCACACTAACCCTGGGTTATCTTAACCCAGCTTTGAACAACCCGGCCCTGATGTCCTTTTTAGCTGCAACGCCCGCCGCTTATGAACATCGAGCACCGAAAAAAGAAAACTGCCATCCACGCAAGACAAAGGAAAAGCTTTAGATTATATCTTAAACAGATTGATTAGTATAGTTAACCCTCGTGGCAGCAAAAATGGCTGCGTCTGTCTGTACAACCCGAGTTTTGAACCTCCCTGGGATAAAGCAATTTCTTGGAATTGTAGATAGGTTGGGAAAAACAGGGAGAAGTTTCAGTGACTGAGTGGGAAGGGAAGCCAGTATAAATTTGTATCATCGGGATATTGTGACATCGAGAGTTTGCGAAGAAATATTCAGTGCTCGAAATCACACTTTTGTCGCACATGAAGAAATTAAATGTGAAATATTTTACCTTGAGAACACAATTGAAAATCAGGAGGTACTAATGATATTTTCATAAATTGATATTAGATGAAAGAGGCACTGAGGCGTTTTGTGACACTTTCTTTTGATAAAAGGATTTCTGTATAGATGAAGTCTTGAAGTTTTCGTAAAGACATTTAAGGGATTCATCTTTTAGATATTTAACAACCTAGATTGCAACATCTTTCACGTGAGGAGAAAGGTAAGAACCTTGATAGACCTGAAGACTTTGAAATAAACCCATTTTATTAAAAACGTATTTCTAATTATTATCATGAAGTTGGTCAAATTTCTCGCCAGTAGAGGTTTATCTTAACTTCAGTTGTTCTGAATAAATTATGTCGTGTAAAGTTTGTCTTTTTAGTACATCTACTTGTACTTATATATTTATTTTAATTTAATTTTATGACAGCCATTGAAATCTACGCTGACTACGAGACTGAAAATACATCAGCCTTTAAAACGTTACCAACTCTCATCCCAATACTGAAAGATTCATCATGACTAAAAATTAATCTGCGACCATGAAGGCTAATAGAACTTTTCATAAACGCGAGTCTTTCGTAAACTGGCGCAGTAAGAGCGCAATAAATTCGAAAAGAGCAAAAATACATAAATCAAATCAACAAATTTGATCAAGAAGGTAATGGAAAAGCGCAGGTTGGTTGTGAGGCCAGACTTGAATAAATGGACAGAAAAAAGGCGATGGCCATTGTTACACCACAACGGTCCTTGAGGCCCATTTTTGTAGAGTAGGGGGGTGGGGGGGGGGGAACTCAACGTATACTCGGTAAAGATCCTTACATATCCCCCTCGTTTAGGGCCTTTTCCTTGGGTTAAAAAAACCATTAGTTAGTGTTCCCATGTACCCTCCCCAGCCTTGCTCGGACATAGGTAAAAACTTGGCACATTTTTTGGAAGGGGACAGATTGTTGCATTTGCACTTCAAGGAAAAACGATACACGGTCAGGCTTCCAAAGTGGACTTTGTACAAGTCATAGTCTGATTGACTGACAAATATTTGCTCCTTGTCAGTTTGTTGTTGCTTTTTCTTGAGGCACTCATTCACGGCTGAATCTCCTGCATCATATATTCCAAGTTTTTCATTCTTGTCTTCATCAACGTCATTATCAAATTTCCCTGTTGATTTGACAAATAGACAAAGAAATTCACCTTTTGTTGTCTGCTATTAGTCATTCATCCATTCGACAAAAAAAATTTACCTTTTGTTGTCTGCCATTAGTCATTGGTAGAGACAAGCGAAAAGCTTCGCATTCTTCAAATGCATTAATTTAAAAAAGAGGAAACCAAATTGTTGTTTACCGTTCGCGTAAACAACCTGCAGCCTCTTCACTGCGATCACCAAAACGAATTCCCACCAGTTTGAATTGTTACGATTTGCTTCGAGACAAAATTGCAATGCAGGGACAAAGATTTGCGCAAAGTTGTTCTTATCACACGTAGCAGATCTACGTCTTGGCTCACAAAGATATTTCGTAAGTTGAAGTCTGGTCTGTACTCTCGTAATTGTTTCAAATGACGATGAATTTCTCGAATCGGAAACAAACAAAAAAACAATACCAAACGAATAAAAAAACAAAACAAACTAAATATAAACAAATAGCACTCTTCAATATTTTGCTGGGAGAAACAACAGCTTTTTCTGTTTTTGGCGCGTTAAAAACATGCAAAGAAAGCCACATCAAAAAACTTAATTTTTCTTTCCGTGACCCTTCCACAAGCTCTTTTCACTCGAAGGTGTGGATAGAAGGTAAAGCGACCTGGGACTGATGTTACAGTAGAGTACGGCCATAATAAAATACCTTGATGTTAAAAAAGTGATTGCAATTTACCTGCTCTGCTGAGATTTCTATAATTCTCAATACAAGCCTTGTCCTCTGGTAAAATAATCCGTACTTTAGCTGGATACTGCCAGTAGGTAGTGAAAACCACATCGATGGAGTCCATTGGTCCTTTAATGTTTTCTTCTCCAAGCGAAGTGGCCATCGAACCTGTTGAAATAAGTCTCTGATACCCGCCGTGATCTGGTGCTCCAATGTGTCGTTTTCTTCGAGAGGTGAATGTGGAGTTTTTGCTGTTTGGTTTGCTGCCAGTTTCCTCTCTTAGACTTTCATGCTCTATGTCTTGGAAATCCTCTGAAAATGCGATAAACATTGAAATAGCTCTTACTTTACGTGTTAATTTTTGACACGTTTATTCACACTACAGCAACTACCGTGTGCGCACTCTGAAAAAATGACAGAGGGCTTTGCTAGCAGCTGTAAAAACGGTCACTGGCAAAGACGGGCAGGTCATTTGGTCATTCTCAGGCTGTTCAGAGGAGAACAATGCTTTGCTAGTCGCCTCCAAGTTATCCAATAAGAATGCGCGAATCACTATAACGTGTGGTATAACGGATCAACGTCAATATCTGAGCAAACTTCGCACCTTCCTCTCCCCTGACAACAGTAAACTGACAACAAGTTTGGGTTAATGTTGGGTCAGGGGAGGGGTAGGTGCGCAGTTGCTCGGATACTAATAGCGGAGCTCGCAGAGCGTAGCCCCATAATTATACAAAATAGTAGTAACCCATCAAGCCGAAAAAATTTGGATGTACGACCGCACGACCGTACAAGGTGCTACTTTTAACATGCGTGGTCAACTGCACCGCGGGCACGCCAACGCCACGGCTTTGTTCAGCAGTCCAGTGGTCAGTGCATTGGGCTCCGAGTCGGACGACCCAGGTTCTAGTCCTAGCCGGGGCAAGGCGTTGTGCCCTTGAGACGTGCAGGAAAAAAAAATGCGAGCTCCGCTTTTTAGGCTTGGCTAAATCTATATATTACTAATCGCCTTAGCCCTTTAACCCGTGAGAGTGACTAACATCTAATTTTTCCTTACAATATCACCCCTGAATCAAACATTAACGTCATGAGAATGGAGGAAATGATCACCAACTAAAGAAGCTCTTGACCGTTACGCAAATTCTCCTTGTCAGAACCCTTGGAAATGTCAAGGGAGTAGTATGGAGAATATTCATACTGATGTTAAGGAGTCAAGGGTTAAGCATCCAACTCTCATAAAAAGTAGATTTTTAACTTCCTCACCTGAATAATAAATATCTTTGCCAGGAAAGCCTATATTGTGATTAGTCACCCGCAGCTTACTAAAGCTCTTTGCATTATATCGCAGCTTGCAAGTGTCAGCTCTGCTTTGCTCATGGACGTTCGTTCCTTCCACAAACTCAAAGTTTCCTCCCTCGCCCTCGTGGCCGAGACAGTCTGAAACCCAGTATATAAACAGGTCGTTACCAAGCCCCTGCATGCTGGCTGTCAGGGGAGACGTGTTGCACATTGATGATGACTTCAAGAAAGGTGTGACTAACGGCTTGCCTGTTTTGCCATCGATCACTGTCACCTGTTGGTCAAAAAATTATTTCAAAAATTAGACTGTCTCACGGAGAGGATAGGGGGCTTTTTGAAAGGAGGGGGTGCCATACAACAGCATCTCATTAGAAAATTTCTCATTCAAGGTGGGGGAGGGTGACATGGTACCTTGAAGAATGAAAACTGTTTGTTCAGATGGCTGAGATTTCTTCTAAAAATAATCTTGGCTACTTTTCAATCAAGCAGCTGAGAAATTAACAAGGAAATAAACCCTATATTTTCAAATGTTCCTACTGGGACATTTTGAGCAAGTCAAAATACAATACAACTTAACACTCACTGGCATGCAGAAGTTATCAAAAGCAGTTCTTCACGCAGTTTTCTAAAGCTCAGTGGTACAGCATTGTTAGAAAGAATACAAAGGTTTGGGGTTTTGTAGAAAAACAAATTCGAGACAAGACCCCAAGAGTGCATTTGAGCGAGTACCTCTCCCTTTGGGTAATGATGCGTTGTCTTAAAAATAAAGGTCCAAAAGCTGCTCACACTGTTCAACTCGACCATGCATAATTATTTTAAACCCACTCACATTTGAGTAAAAATAAACCGGAAATCCTGATCCATAGTTGTACCTCACCAAAAAGTCGGTTGTGTTATCCTTATTGAAGAAACCTGCTGCTGGTGACCTTTCATAATATCAAAGAGAGAATATGTGTTTAAATTTGTAGCATTTTTTAATGGACTTTTGTACAATGAAAACCTGACTCAAGTAATCACAATGGCCAAGCAGGACACAGAGAAACATCCAAAAGAGCCAATGAGAAGCCAAGGTATCAGTATCAGCCTCAAGTACAAGGAATTAAAAGATTTGGACAAGTGATTTCTGTCAGTTTTGTTCTTGATAAATTTTAAAAGGTGAACTGAGATTTCTAGACATATCACATTGTTTAGTGTAATATGGCAAAAAGATGCAATACCCAACAACTTCTAACTCTAAGCTGAAGATTGATGTATGAACTTACGTATATGATTCACTTGATGGGAATACAAAATGCCACAACCTCTTGTAGTTTTCTCCGTCAAAAGCAATGACAGTTGTGTTGTACATTGCCATGGTGATGTCAACAGTTCCATCATTGTTCAAATCCACAAGAACAGGAGGATTCATCACCCCTAAATATGAAAGGAAAATTTTGAATTAAAAAAACAGAAATATTTCTCTTTTGAGGAAAGACATTAAGCCATGACCTTGGGTGATTTGTGGACATATAGAAAATCAGAATTGCTGAAGGTGACAAACAGTTGACCACGCATACAAAAAGTTGACCACACATACAGCTGTTGTTTTATTTCCTGTTTAACCATTTAAAAATTTAGTCAGCTGGTGGTATTAACTCAGTTGGTCACCAACGTACATCAAGCATAAGACAAGAGTGGCAATGTGTTCATTACATAAAACCACCTGGTTAAAGATTTCATGCAAATATTTGAAACCTGAGATTGGCCTTGCAAGAGGCAAATTCCCTGAGAATGAAGTGCAAAATATTCCAAATGGAATAATAATAATAATAATTCCAAATATAATTTTCAGTTTTACCAAGTGAATGGTGCATAACTTTACCACTGTCTGAAGTCACAATTGGTTTCCATGATGAGGCACTGTGCACACTTCTCTTGGCAAACAGCCAACAGAAAGAGCAGATCAATGCAGGAGTGGGACAGGAGGGTGGGGGAAGGGGAAGGGGCAGGGGGAGAAAACAAGAGATTCAAGGTGGCAGGCTGATAAAAAGCCACCTGATAAGCAAGCTCCAACTTTGAACACAACTGTTTGCTTCCCCCATTTAAAAATTATACATGTTGTCTTCTCTTTGATTGCATTTTATTTCCAACATTGAATGGGTTGGGGGTGCAGGATGATTTCCAACATAAAAATCCAAGGTTGTAGGTCTGTAGAATCTACACTTAGATTTTTTTCATACCTTTATAATCATCTTTGTAGATAAGCTTAGAGTTTTCAATCAAGCCATGGAAGAGATCTATCAGTGGCACAACATAGAGCCCTCCTGGGTGTGTCTCTCCACCTGTGCCAAACAGCACAAGCTCAGTAGAATCTTTCTTTGTGTATATAACTGGAGAAAAGTAAGTTTCTCTTTCATCTGGAGTTCTCACCCATCTTAGCACCTCTCCAGTTTTGCCAGAGAATATTAAAAGACGTCCAACCAGACGCTCAGGACTATTGGGCTCGCTGGGAAACAATAAAAGCACATAATTCACCATGTCTTATCTTGCTAATGATTTCATTTTTAAAAATATTAAATTAGAGAACACTGTCCCCAAGAAAAAAAAAGCTACCAATAAATGAATTAATTAACAGTACCTTACAAATATCGACAACCAAGAAATTCCTATTTTTTTGGGGGGGGGGTGGGGGGGAATTCCAAATTCCAAAATATTGTTTTGAAATTTTGGCAGGAGAACCATTTTCTTTAGCCTGGTTTCCACATGATTGAGAAGATTATGACCATCCTGATGGCAAATTACTCGTTTCTCAAGATTATAAATGGGTATTAGCAATGGTTTGTTAATGAATATATGTATATTGAGAAAACTCAAGAGCAATATCATCAACTTACGCCAAAGGATCCCCCCCATGTGTGACAAGAACTTCCATCACCCCATCTCCATTCAAATCTCTGATGAACTGAGCTGTGTACAAGTTCATGTTGGTATCTCTAGATTCCTGTGGTCCAAAATTCCAAATAAGCTCTCCTCTTTTACCACTGATGGCTTGAAAAACTCCTGCCCTTCCAGATATCAAACAATCTTGGACACCATCCATGTCTAAATCACCATTACAGTTTACTGAATAGATTTCATGCATGGTATAATGTCTCCATAACTGTTTGCCAGTTTTTCCATCAAGAGCCATAAGGCCACCATAACAGGGATAGGTGCCATTAAAATACAGATCACAAGATATCTTTGGTGCATTGTAGCCATCTACACCAGTTGAAAAGCCAACCATGAGGTCATCAACTCCATCTTCATTCACATCATTGAGTCGCACGGCAGTTTCTGTCATAAGTTTTGGCATTGTTGCATGCCACACCTTGGTGGCTTCAAGCTCATCACATGGCGCAAAATTATTCTCGTCATTCAAGAAGCCATCTTGTTTATCTGTAAGAACCTTCTTCACAAAATGGGCATCAGAATCCTTGGATTTTGATTCAATAGCTTGTAGAATGAGCAACACAAGTCCAGTAATGCAAATAGAAAAAAATGCCAGCCAAAGAAAGAAAACAAAACAAGCTCTGGTTGTGCACCAAGGTTTTGAATGTGCTCTCCTGATTTTTGTAGTCCTGTTTGGAGGCATTAACTGTTTTTGTACATTTCTTGTTGGGCTCAGTAATGCCGTCCCATAGCCATCATCAATTTCATCATCGAGGTCATCAGAATCATCATCCTCTTCACTTCCAAGATGTGAAAACTTGTTTGCTTCTGGTTTGTAAATATTACTCAATGTCATATTGCCATAAGCTCTTTAGTCTACATTCAAACCTGAAAGTAATTTCAAGAACTCATAGTTAGTTGTAGTTATTAATAACAGAATTGTATTGTACATGTATTGCACAGTTTCTAGACACAATCCAATAATGCTTCAAGGTATTCATAAATTTTAAAAATAATATATAGATTTAGGCAAGCATAAAAGCGGAGCCCGCATTTTTTTCCCGCACATCTCTCCAACAAAACTAAAGCCCCTACTATGAATAAAGTGCGTGGTAATATTACTGGATTTTCATTTGCAACTTCTCTGTGTCCATGTAGAGGATTGATTATAAGATAGTGCCCGTGGTACAGTTGGCCCTGCATGCTAAAAGTAGCACCTTGTATGGTTGGTCATACAGTCGTACATCCAAATTTTTTTCAGTCTGATGGGTTACTACTATTTTATGTAATTATAAGGCTACACTCTGTGAGCTCCGCTATAAAAATAATAATTTACAATCAATTAACTCTAAGGAAAGAAAATGTAACCCAACCTTTAGAGAAGGAAGTTTTGAGATTTTATTTAAAAGTATCCAGCAACTTACTATTTCATCAAGGAGAGAGTGTCATCTGCCTTACGTCTTAAAGATTACTATTGAACTGCTAAATTTGACAATGTCTGAAAGCTATAATCAGTGACAAAAAAAACTTTGCATTCAATTAATTTTTCAAAGTGAAAAACCTTCCTTCCTCTCCATCAACTATTCTACACCAACATAGCAAGTTTTGGTAACAAAAATACAAGTTTGTTTTTTAGTAAGGGGGAAGAGTAGGAAGATGAAATATAAAGTGTAAAATTTGTCAAATGGAGCACAATTTACTCACTGTCAACAGTTAGGAGAAAACAACCCTTTTGTCTCTGATAGACCAAGCCTATTCTCTTTTAAATCAGATATTACCAAAATTTTCTAGTATAAAGTATGATTTGCAAGATAGTGTTAGATTAAGAGTTACAGTGGAGAGGAAGCGATTTAAGGAAGACTGGCTTTAGAGTTATTGAAGTAAATAACCCTTTCTATGCCACACTCTGTCAGCAGTAATTAACTTTTACACCCAAAGATTGACTAAGTTATTGTATAGCTTGTGTTCTTGATCTATAGCAGTCTCTTTGCAAGCAACCGTAAGCTTCACTAAACAAAATACCGCTTGCACCCTTAATTCCATAATTGGGAAAAATTTATGCACCCTTCAGATTTGACCGCTATTAGACCTCAGATCGATTTTAAACAATAAAGATTAATTTAGATGCTTGAAGGCTGCTGCTTCCCCTTTTACTCAAAACACACTATTGATGAGATTAGGTCACCGTCACAGTTTATCACAACTAAAAAGGCCTTACAATTGCTCTTTTACAGCTAAGATCAAGGAAGTGAAAGGGGAGACTAAATGAGATACTTTGACAAGATTTCCGTATAACTTCATACTTCCTCGATACATACGGCTCTCGATAAAAGAACAATGGAGAAAAAAGACATTAGATCACCTTTGGGACCAGGGCTTTGTTCTCGATTAGTATGGGGCTAGAAGGAACCCTATCCCTACATTTCCTCATACAGATCATATTTCTTCTTAAATTAATCTCTTCTTCCTTTTCATTTCTTCCTTGCTTCATTTTCGTTCCTCCATGAGCAATGATAGTTTAATTAAATAGAAATCTGAATAGGCTGTAAATGACACGTCGCTTTAACTCATATAGGCAGAAAATAAACAAAACATGAACTCCAATCGACTCTAGCATTACATTTTTACAATACAGTATACACTTCACTAAAATACACTCAAAACCACTCAAATCGGGCTGAAATTCGTAAAATTGAAAATATTGTACGTAAGCAGAGCATCAAAAATTTCGCCATCGCAATATCTCCATTAAATTATCTAATTCTCCCCTAACGAGCTTCTTGAATGTGATTTTTTAAGTACTGTTTGCGATGAATTCAAAAAAGAGCGTATCTCCTCTGTTAACTGTGTTAGACTCTTCACGAACAACCTTAACCAGAAATCAAAATATCAAGCTGACCAATGTATTATTAACGACAATGGCATTACTCATTCATATTAGCAAAAAATATTTTCAATACCTGTAAGAGAGAGAATTCACGCTGAATATACACGACTAGTCATCACCTCTCGTAGAAGTCGGTTTGACAGCAACGATTTCATTTGCCAACGGTTCGACTCGCAGTTCGTATTAAATTAATGTGTAACTTTTGAAAACACGTAGACAGACATGTCAGTGATCGAGTTTCAAACACATACAAAAAACGAACTTGCTGGAGTAGACTGGGCCAAAAATATTGACGAATACCGCTTTTCTCCCACCCCACCCCTATATATGATTTTTTTTTTCTTTTAATTGTGAGAGTGCGACTGAAAAGATTCAGCCAGGTGTGGTGCCAATTTAACGAAAAAAAATTTACCTACATAAGAGAATAGGAAAAGACAATTTGAAAGTGTCGACTGATAATTTTGATAGCGAAATTAGCAAAGGTACTACCCTTTTCTTACAACTACCTTCCCCCCCCCCTTTACTCCGCTCCCGTGGGATCATGACTCTAAGACAACATGGCAGCCAAATGCTCATACTTGGCCTCATTGCCTGCTATTCCTTTGGTGAATGTTCTGTCGTTCTTGGATAGGAAAGACTTGTTTAGTTGCTCTCAGGTTTGTTCGCGATTCAATCAAGTTGTCTCCGATCTTCCTGTGTGGAAATCATGGTGTAATGAAGTGTGGTTGGTCGGAGAATGCCCGCCGGGAGTAACATGGAAGCAGTTGTTTGTGGAATGGAAAGCGAAATGGGGTCGCTATGAATCTTGTTATGCAACCATAAGAAAAGCTTGGAACATCATTGAAGACTTTACAAAGCTTCACTGTCCTAATATTTATGCATCTTTGAACGATGGATTGTCAGAAGAAGAAATTCGCGAAACCGAAGCTAACAAACTCAATGGTGAGTATTCATAATTTAGTTATTAAATTTACAGCAGCTTTTACAGAGTTTGAACTCATATTTTTAAAGTCAATAATCAGAATGGTTCTCATCTTGTTCATTTTCTTGTCTCTCTTTTTTTTCCCCTCTTTTTTTGTACACGGTCATCCAACAATGATTTTTAATTCAGATGACAACATATGAGATTTTATATCGTTGATCGTTAGCAAAGCTGGACAACGACAACTATAAGAAGAAACTCAGTATTGTATGTCCATTGGAGAGAACTTCATGCTGTCAGTAAGAGGTAGTAACCAACAAAAAAATCGGTGGCTAGTGTGCCATTTTAGGCAAAGTTTCATGGAAAGATTGCGGAATGCCTGGCACAATTTAAATGAGTGAGTTCCCTGTCTTGCACGTCATTCCATGAATCCGTATTGTGTCCTTGGTAACCTTTTCTCCTACAAGTTCAAATTTCCTCTCTACTTTGAAACTTATTAACAGATAAAAAAGGCCAACTTGAAAACCTATTTGTCCTGCAGGTTGTAGTCTTCCAAATGAACTGAGATGTTCAATTCGTATCCACAACGGACAGCAGCTCGTCTGTCCAGGGCTGATTGGATCCATGGCAATTTCCAATCACTACCAAAGTGAATCTCTTCTGGAGCTTGGCATAGCTGCTGGAGCACTCCAGAGCCGTGATGGGCTGAGGAACTGTATTCCTGTTTCCTTATGTGTGAATACTGGAAATGGACAATTTATGGCATTGACAAATGAAGAGGGGCGTAATCCAGGAGATTTGTTTTGGCCAAGCCCAGATCGCAGTGCTGACAATTTTGACATTTCTCCAATGAGAATGCACCATTTTCTGAGTGGAAGCAATTTTGAAAGCTGGCTGTGTAACTATGCAGATCAGTTGTCTCGGAACTGCTTCCCAGTAATTAACAAAGAAATTTACAAGTTCTTATTTTCTGCCTCTGCGACAACCCAAGGAATCACAGTTACCACGACTACTGCATTTCTTCCAGAGCTAAGTAGTGTCAAACCTCCCCTGTTTTTCTTCACATATCGCATATCAATTTCCATGGATCCCAAGTGTTCTGAGGTAGGTTACAAGTTGTAAAAGGCACTTTAAATTTAAGAATTTTTCCTTAAAATCACAGACATCATTCTCTATTGTTGCTTGTTACATGCGAAAAATATCATGCAAATTTGTCACTGACTCATGCCTTCCATGTCACAAGGTTTTAAAAATGTTTATCATGTTGTGTACAACTACCACAAAGCAGTTACCATCATGACTTTGATTTGACGATATTTAAACCACTCAACTTCTAAAAGTGATTAACATTTAACTTCTTATTATGTTATCCTTAAATTCTTCAGCAAAAAGGTAATAAGAATTCTCAAACTTATCAATTAGAAGTTTTTAAACTAATTTACAAGGAAATTTCTTGTAGCTAGAGGGGAGAATTAACAAGTAGGTCTTGGGAGTTAAAGGTTAAAAAACAGTTGTTTTGCAAACATATTACAGGTGATGATTATCAGTAGCTTCACACCAGAGAAACTAGACATTTATTTACAGTGGGCATCAAAGAAACTTCTTTTCTTATACTAACAGATCTTTGGCCTTTCACATTTCAGTTTATAAATAAATGTCAGCTCACAACACGTCACTGGTACATTACTGATGCAAATGGAATCAAAGAAGAAGTCCATGGAGATGGTGTGGTCGGAGAGTTTCCAGTAATGACCCCAGGGGCACTCCATGAGTACATTAGTTGTACAACATTTTCTACTCCCACAGGGGTCATGGAGGGACATTATGTCTTTCAATGTCTAAACAAAAGCGAAAGGATTAATGTCAAAATACCTCCATTATATTTTAAGAGCCTACCTTTTGTGGCTGCCGAGCAGAGATTGTTAAACATGCCACAAGGTAAGTGTGAAGAAGTGAGTAAAATTTCAGGAGGAGCAGAGGAAAAGAAAGTTGTTCATAAAAAAGGAAAATGAATGAAACAAAATTTCAATGTTCTTGCCTACATTTTCTTCTTGTATTTTTCCCCTTTGTCTTAGCAGCTTATGTCTGCTGTGTAGGCCATTTTTATTGAAATTTTTTCTTTCATTAAAAGTTGGCATTGTAATTAACCTTTTTAATTTTAACCCTAAGCAGAAGTAGATAATCAAACAAATAAGCTGGTTAGATATTGGTTATCATTTGAGTATTGCATGTGAACCAGTGGCTGTTTCTAAATTCCAAAAACCAGAATGATGAAAGCAGTTTTTGTATCCAACATTTTGTGTTTAATGTTGTTGCCCTGGTGATCTGACATAACCAATTAAGCTGTCTTTTTGTATTTTATAACAATCATTAAAAATGGTTGATTTAATGTGGTAAGTCAATAAGTGACTGTAATCAACAGTCATGTAAAACACAAATGGAATCACAAAAAGATTGTTAACCAGTTATTTAAACAAGGTCTAACACAAATTGCAGTTCCATGCAAACAATGGACCTCAAGTATTCTCTAGAAGAGGGTTGATTTAACCCTTTAACTCCCATAAGTGACCAAAAAAGAATTTCTCCTTACAATATCAAAACAATATCAAGCAGACAAGTTATGAGAATAAAGAGAAATATCAGTTAGGGGATTATAAGATGATCTAATACTAAATCCTCCAAACTAACATCAGAAGAACTGTATAGGAGATAGTAAGGAGAATTACTAATGAGATCTTGGGAGTTAAAGGGTTAATAAAATAATGTCCTTCCACTGTTGACTTTCAGTCCTCTTGACACTGTTCATAAAAATGAATGTTCAGATAAAAGGTTGGGCTAAATTAAAGATAGTTTAGAGCATGGTTTTGTTAAACAACGACTAAGGTTTGCTTAAGTAACCAGCCCTCTAAGTGATAATTATTTATGTTAATCAAGCAAGATACAACCGTCTTCCTGATGGTTTTGATGAACCCTTTAACTCCCAGAAGTGATGAACATAAAACTTCTCCCTACAATATCCATACATTCTTCAGCAAAGAGATAATGAGAATATTCAACCTTATCGGGTAGAAGCTGCTATCTTGATCTAGAACTAAGTTCTCATAACTTATTTACAAGGAAATGTGTAGCAGCTACAGGGGAGAATTAACAATCAGATCTTGGGAATTAAAGGGTTAACAAGCAGATGATTTGACCCCTTTTGCCTATGTAATATATCTCACAGGAGTGATGCAGTCATGTTATGGATAGAAACATTCACTCATTTGTTATAAATGTACAGATTATAATTAAATTCGCAAAAATGTTTTTTTTCTTTATATCATAATTATTACAAAATGCATAGGGAGTGAAACGTGGAACTTTTCAATTAAAGATGTTTTGTTCAGAAATCATGTCAAATTATTTTGCTATTAATACTTACCTTGTGTGAAAGAAGTGCAAGGTTCGCTGTGCCGTTTTCCAGTTGGGTTTCATGACAGACTTGTTTCTTATTGTGGATTCTCTCTTCTTTGGTTCGACTTCTTCCTACCGGACAGATCATATGTTCGGAGCGTGCCCTTCATTTAGGATGATGGGTTTAAACAAAGCGAGGTGAAAAAAGAAAAGAAAGAGGCAAATGATGCTCACATATGTCTGCTATGCACAAGTTAATAACGTAATAGTAAATAAGTAAATTTATCTACGAAATCATCCTCACCAATGAACTGATGGAAAATTTCAAAAACATCGAGGTTAATCCACTCCATTGTCGAAGACCCACTGTTTCAAATGAAAATATTTACGATGACAGACTTCATTTGCTACTTAGGGTGCAGGGCATTTCGGTTGATCACAATAGATGCCTAGAATTTACATCAGAAATGAATGATTCGACTTAACAGCCCCGTTCAAAGAGAAATTAAATAACTGTAAAAATTACACAAAACCACATCATTCAAACGGAAGTAAATGCAAGTTTTATTTCCCTATATAGTCATTACAAAACAGACTGCAGATCTTTAAGTACAAAGGAAAACTTTGTAACAATATTATCAACTTAACAAGCTTCTTATCTCGATTTCTTTTACTTAATGAAAGTTGTTAACAGTTTGTACTGGAACAAAGTACAAGATGTTATTTGATAAACTCGCCATGGGAGTGAAACCAATATCGTTAGGGTGAAAGCCGGGTGGAGGTCGTTTATTTGCAGTCATCATCTTTAAGTATTCCACAGGAACTTGTAAGCATGCTCCAGCGATGTCTTCAGCCGCATTTGCCTTCGATCCGAGGCCCATCTTTGTATATAAATTCCTAAGACGCCTCATGTATGTACTATTGCAGTTGGCGGTGCGCTCTTGTTGATTCGTGCCAGAGGTTGTCGAGGAAATGTGATCTTCCGCGCAGTTACTTTTCCTATTCTCATTTCTGTCTGCCATAGTCCACTCGTCAATTTTTTCAACAGAATCTTGCGCGATATCCTCGCCATTGTTCTCTAGAATGTTTTCATCACTTGGTGGTGGTTGTTCCTCGAGGCTTACGCATGAACTTGCCCAGTAATTCATTGAAGTCGTCTCGTTCCCTTGATGGGCTTGCTGACTGGAATCATGACCTTCCTTGTTTTTAGCAACCGCGGTGTGAATAGATGGAAAGAAGTTCACAGTGCAAGTTTCCACAGGCTCTGTCTGAGTTTTTTCATATCTTTCGGATGTCACCTTTGAATTGTGAAAGATGCAATAAAACACACATGAATATGATTTGAAGTTCATGTTTGAAAAGCGCAGTGAGTATTGTGTAAATGACGCCAACCTGAACACGAGAAATGATTGTCAGGATTCCGAGCGAATGGACCCTGAGAAACAATCTTTAATGTTTGATGGCAATAAAAAGTGTATAAATGAAAAAAATAAATAAATAAAAATGTGGTGAAAAATAAAAGCGATACACCCAATTGGCTATGAGGCTGTTATCAAGTAGTCCGTCATTGGAAACCAAGGGTCGAACGTGATATAAAATTTGTTTGATTTTCATTTTGCTTTGCTGCCCTTTCTGATTGGCTAAAGAAATTCGCGCCACTGGCTCCATACGAAGGTAATATTTTTCTCTATTCTGATTGGTCGGAGTGAACAATTTGATTTTAATGTGATTGAATCTAATTTAATTTTTACATATTACATATACATCGCTCACTTTTTGTTCTTTTTCTTCCTCTCGTTGAATCTCTAGATCTTCTTCCCAATTTTCTGACTTCTCGGTAGTGTCACTTAACTAAGCAACAAGACATTATTCATTAACAACATAAGATGCAAGCTTACATACAAAAACAATTATCAACTGAGTTGATAACGTAAACTGGCCACCGTAACGAGTTTAAAAGCTGACGATTCGAGCGTTAGCCCTTCAATTTACATTATCAACTCGGGTGATAATACTAAATTACTCTGTTTTATTCTCCCACTAACGCAGCACTACAGTTTCTTTAGAAACTTACTCTTTCTATTCATTACATCCAAAAAGACACACGGTCTCGGAGGAATTCTACAATGTCAAGTTTGAACTTATCACAACATGTGCATTTACGCGTGAAAATATGGTCATGAGATTAAGATTATAGATGAAACGACAACATTTTTCATGACATGTCTGAATTATGAATGGAAAAGAGTGCGCGGAGGGGGCAACAGAAAAAGTGAAGAATTTCAGGAGGCTTTCCTCTTCCTTGATCTTCCCATCGTTCCCAGCGTGCTTTCCTTTTTCCTCTCCCCAGACCCCTGAAGCAGTAACGGCAATAACAAAGTAGTAAGCAGTAACTACTGAAATGATCAATTCCAAATGATTAAAAAAAAAAACGAGACCCATCTACTATATATTTTACCTTCAGAGAATCGCTCTTGGCAGGAGATTCTTGAATTTGGACATCAAAATTAGTTGTTTTCAAATCCCTAATTTTTACCTGAAAACGAAACATTTGACGTACAGAAAGAAATCTTATGAAAAGTTAATTACTAAAAATCAGAAGATGTTCGAGGGTAGATTGTCAATTTCTCTAAGCAGTAGAAAATATTAAGGCAGAGACAGACAATCAAGGCTCTGATCACTAAATTGCTTTTTAGTTATACGCGGAAATGGAGGTTTATTTCCCATTCCAGCCCAAATCAAACTAACTGACCTCAAGCTTATGAATCTTGGAGTTCTTTTGCTGGATCTTTTCTAAAAACTCATCAGTGACTTTCTCCTTTGCCTTCTGGATTTCTTTATTGGATCGCGATAGCTTTTCCATCTGTTTATTGAAGTTCTGTTTCCGACATAATAATGAAATTATTCAGTCATGTTAAATTACGTGTCACAGATACATTAAACATTTTGTTTTCTTTATTTGAATTCATTTCGAAGGAAAGAAAAATAAAAATTTGTTACATAGATTATATCTGGTGCGTGAAAAGACGACTGTAAAAAGATGCTGGAAGATAGGTGCTGCACGATCTCTGCTCCTACAACCTTCAACCATTTTGAGCAAATCTCTGGAAAAAAAAGATATACCCAGGGACCATTATACTCACAGCCATCTTTTGATTTGCTTCATCCAGTTTTTTCTTTGTATCATTGAGCTCTCTTTGCAACTTGTTCAGCTGTTCAAGCGGATTCTTTTCCAACTTGACCCAAAGAGCTTTCTTTTGTCTTTCCAAATTCTTAACTTTTCCGTTAAGAATCTGAAAGGTGTAAGAAATTAAGAGAATTCAGTAGAGAAGTTTGGATCAATATCAGTATCTGGGCAACTGCCCACCTACCCCTCCCTAACTCAACAACAGTCGATTGATAACAATTTAGGGTTAATGTTGGGTTAGGGGAGGGGTAGGTGGGCAGTTGCCCAGATACTGATGATGATCCAGAAGTTTTATGCCCTAAATGATACATATACTGACAATTTTTGGGTTAGTGCTAATCGGCCTTCGAACAAATAGGCCCAGGTTAAAATCTCATGGGGACTGATGTTGCATTTTTCCCGAATTATACTGGCAGTTCTCTTGAGGGAGTGACTAATTGTAGATACAATTTCTGTGCGGCCATACTTAATGAAACAGTGGTATGGAAACTGAAGTAAGAATCAAACTCAATACATTTTACCTTTATCTCTTGCTGCTGTTCAGCCTTAGATTTCTCGTGGAAAAACTTCTCCTGAGCTAACTGCGCTTCCAACCTTCGAATACTGGCCATGAGGTCTTCCTTAGAAACACTCAGATCTGCGGCTAGTGAATAATTTTACTCAATCAGAAAAAATTCACCTTAAGAAAGATTTGTGCCGTTAAAGCTTTCAGGTAATAGGTACTTACAAGTCGAAAATCGAATGTGAGCTTAATGTATTCTAAACTTGTTTGAATATTCTATCATAAATGTCAAAATTTCACTGTGCATCCTCAACTGGACCATTAGAAAAGAAAACGTATCAAACTGATCATGAAACTCAACTTTTACATGAAACACAATGACATGAGAATCGATATATTTACTCTAAATGCTGCACGAGAATAGACGAAAAAAAGCACAAGGTAGTACCTCCTGTGTTGTTTTGTTGCCTCTTAAAATTCTTGCGGTTTCTTGCAGCCATAACAGTTTGGATATATTAGCTTTAGGATTTTCTGTTAATTGCAGATTTCTATCAGACAAATATTTTCTCTCTCTTTCTCGCTCGTGTTGTAGCTTCTCTGGGAAGTTCCTCACCGTTCAAATATTTTGACAGGCGACTTAACGGTTAAATGATGTCATAGTCAACGTGACAATGGATTATATGACGATTGACGCAAAACTTCAAATCACCCTGCGCGCACGCGAACTCGAGAACAGGCCGTCCTCGTTTTCAGAGTGTAGCGTGCTTCCACTCCATTACGTGACGTGGTTTTTCTCATTTTTTCAGTGCCTTCACAGCGAAAATAGAATATGCAATGTGTCCTGCCAGCTTAAAGAGACAGTGAGCTCTGAGGAGAAGAATACGATAGTTGAGTGCCTTCATTTGATTTGGTTTGAGTTGTTTAAGAATATTATAGTTACGAGCTCGAGTGACTAAATTCCTTCCTCTCCTCCTCCATACTCTACATCACCCTCTCTTTCATTTCAGATGTGTCAATTGCTGGGGGATTAAAGTAACAGTTCTAAAGCTCTCTTTATAAACCATTCAATAACCTCTAACTCTCTTTCGTAAACTTGCTCCAGTTTCCAGAGTCCAGTCCAAAACAAAAATTCTTCTTCAGGTAACCGCACCTCCGTACGTCATTTGTGACGTCATTCGAGAGAGCTTGCATCCTTGTTGCCAAAAATTTAATTAATAGTTATTGACTTATTTATTTGACGATAAAGATCCTAAGGGGTTAGTCGATGAATTTAACCCCAAGATTATAAACAAAAACACTGTGGTACTCATTTTGAAAGGTTCTATCGCTGCCTAAGATGTCTAATCTGACCCATGAAGCGACAGGAACGAAAGAAACGAGCACAACTCGCTAATCAGTAATAATTTGCATTCGGAATTTGTTTATACGAACACCTTCGTTACACTGGAGAATCGTCATGGATGAATTCGAAACAATAAGTCTCGATACCGAAGAGTGCAAGATTTGTGGACAACAGACAGGGGAAGAGCTGATTTCATGTATTTTGCGCAAGAAATTGCCCAGCTCGGGGGAAAACATTATTGAGTCTTCGAAAGCAGAGGAGGCTACCTTTGCTCATCGAATTTGCCTGGAAAGATGGGACACTATCATGAAGAACACGTTTTATCCTCAGCCGAAGAAAACGTGGAAAGATAAGCTCAAGGGTTTTATTAGCGCAGGAGAGGCTTCAGTAGAATTTTGGACTCCCGTCTCTGATACTTCGAACGATCGAAATCGGACAATACCAACCACAACAACAAGGTCCTTCTCAACGGCCTCGGACTACTCTGTCTTCAGCCAGAGTAAAGAAGCTTATCGAGTAGCAGAAGTACGAAGCAAACAAGGACAATGGCGATCTAGTAAAGTACGAATTTGTTCTATAGACTCAGAAGAAGAACAGCAACGTTCAGCGTCTCCCGTTGCGAGCGAACAAAGCAAGTTCATTTGGCACACAAAATCGACATGTGGGTATAATCACGTTCAATTATTTAAATTCTGTGGTTATGATTTAAAGCTTGATCGCTAACTTTAACTTCAAACGGTGATAAGTAAACGACAGCCTGTAATTTATTTAAATGTGATTATTTATCGCCCCCCCCATAAATACATTCATAATATAATTTATCTCTGGTTTGGTAACGAAAGGGATGGATGAGGCCCTTCCATAAGATCGCAAAAGGTTGTGTTTGATAAACATATTTCATATTGGTCATCAGTTACCACTAGTTTTCTGCTGTCAGCTCCTTTTAGTTAAATAAAAACCTGCGCTCTATCGAGACCCTTACTTAAATGGCACATAAATTAAGATGATTTCTTAATGAAATAAATTGACAGAAGATATTTGAACCGTTTTAACATAGGATTTGTCTTTGAGGAGTTAATTCATCCCCTAATATCAATACTTTGTCGAGCAGAAAGTTCACGAGGGTGTAGAAAATATCAGATGGAAGATATTGTTTGATCTGATGCCAAAATTCTTAGAGGTAAAATGATAAGAAATGTATAACAGACAGTAAGGAGAATTGATTTTAAGATCATGAAAGTTTAAGGGTTGAAATATCATGTTAGTGTTGCAGTGTGATTTGAATGAGCTGAAGGATGTGTTGGAGGATCTGAAAAGGAGAATAAATGGTTAGTGTCAGTGACTTATGTATTTTGAGTGACTCTAAGATAAATTGTTCTCATGCAAACACAGTGCTTCTCATTTTAATTCGTCCTGTTGGGAATATTTTATTAAAATGCTCTGCATACCTAATATAGAAAATCTCTTATGTCAAAGAAAACATTATCCCACAGAGGCTTATTGATGTTATTATGATATTGATAAGTAGGTGGTAGCCATAACAATTCCAAAAATGCACAGGAGTCCTGTGGTGGAATATGTTGAATATACACAATAGTGACTGCAGTCTAAAAGATTTTATGTAATTTTCTTAAAGGTCAGTAAAACCCCAAAATACTTTTCTTGAAAAATGAAGTGTATGTTTTTGGAGTGTGTAATATATTTTTGGATTGGCTCAAATCATCAATGGTCTTTGTCCTTTTGTTTGCATTCCAATTCTCAAAATATTCAACAAATTATGTAGTTGATTTTGGAAAATCTAACTGTAGCAGAATCAACCAAAAAAAATGAAAAAATTAACTGTTTACTGATCTAGTGAATTGAAGCATAAAATTCTTTGCAATTCTGTTTTTGGAACAAATGATTTCCTTTTCTTACAGGTGTGTCATCAGAGCTGGTAACTCAGCTACAGGAAAAAGACAGTCTTGTTCAGCAGAAACACACCATGGAGACCACGGTGGGTCAACTCATCAGTCTTCAGTCAAATGTCAAGACAGCAAGTTCACAGAATGTATCAAAATCTATGAACCCCACTCACAACCAACGTGGTACCCTGTCTTGCAAATGACACCCTGTCTATGTTATTTTTTCATGGTATACTTGTGGTAGTTATTTCTTTAAGGGCATAACAAACTTATTGTGGTAGGGGCCTTAACAACAGAACCTTCTGTCTATGAATCTACTCATCTTTGTAGACAACCTCACTACAGACACTGTTCCCTTGAATGAAACATTCAGTTTTGCATCTCCTGGATCTATGCCCCCAGTTCTTGCTTATCACATGAAGGCCACTTCATGTGAAATTTGATTTGTCAATTTTGATAGAATTTGTTCAACAATTTGGGGAAACTCTTGAAAAAGGCCCAGTCAGTTTTTATCTTAACCCTTTTACTCCCATAAGTGACCAAAACAGAATTTCTCCTCTCAAAATCAATACAATATCAAGTAGACAAGGGATGAGAATAAAGAAAAATATCAGTTAGGATATTTTCAGTTGATCCAATACCAAATTCTCAAAACTATCATCATGAGAATTGTGTGGCAGACAGTGAGGAGAATCAAGTTAGTCACTTCTGATAAATGAACAAAACTCTAAGTTTATGAAGAGGTGAGATAGGCTTCTCTTGAGATGAAACAGCTTGCTGTTCCTTTGGACAATCTTTTCATTTTGTTAGAAAAGTTTTATTTGGATAGTATTTAGGGTGTATATAGATGACTATAACCAAAGATTTGTGATATGCCTTGTACAAACTAAGTCCTTGCTACATTTCTTTTCCAATGAACCTTAATCCCATGTATAGTTATATTGTTTAAAAGAAAAATTAGGTTTGCATTATTGATGACCTCTTGAGCAGTTCTTTTCAGATTAACGCTTACTAAAAACACATGAAAAGAGAAGATTTAGATGTTAAATAGCAACTGATCAAGTCTTAGTTTTAATTTTTTTTTAATGTTGATGTTGTTTACAGATTGTTGATATTACATCCATGTTTATACCAGAGATTTTAAGGCCAGATTAACATATTTGCCAAGGAATTTGTGTGATTCTACTCAATGTAAAATGTAAATTATTACTAAAACTTCTAAAACTCAAAGAGAGAGCTAATTTTCACCACATGTTATTTATGAGGGATTGTGCTATGTACCTGTGGGGTGGTGGGAGTGTGGGACTAGCTGAATTATTTGGCATCCCATTTGTATTAAGGGGGCAGGGAGTATGAGGAGTTTGCTGTGATAATCTCTATTTATCAATTTTTTTAGAAAAAAGGGGTCACAACCAGCTTTGTCCTGGTAGACTGTATGGTGCAGTATTTTTTCCAACTGTTTATGAAATAAGAGAGAGTTTGTACCTACACAGAGTTCCTATGTTGTTAATATAGACAGAAGTGGCACTATTTTATAAAGAGGACAGAATATTAAAAGCAATATGAAAGCAATACTGTCTTGTAAAGGTATTTTAAACGACCTTGAAACTTGGTGCAAGTTTTTTGCAATTCGTTTTTTTGGTAGTCATATCACAAGGGACCCTTCAGCGGTTTGTGTAGACATCCTTTGTTGAATCACTTTCTCTTTGCCTTTACTTTACAACGATGTTGCAGAAATTGCAAACTCTTCTTTGGTGTTGATGGGTTTGAATCAGTATATTTTAAGAGTTGATAATCAATATCAAATTTACGAAAACCAAGAGAACAACTAATTATTCTTCAGAAATAGTGGGAAAACTCGCCTGCACTTTTGCTGATTAGACAGAACAGGTGTCAATATTCTTGCGTTCTTTAGGCGAGCAGAGGAAAGCGCGAGGCAAGTGCGTGATGACCGCGAGGCAAGTGCGTGATGTCCGCGAGGCGAACGCGAAGAGCAAATGAGGCGCAATAGGAGAAGCGCTCAGTTACCGTTTCCATTGGGTTATGAGTCAGATTGCCCTGTAATCAGAGCCTGATTAGCTTTAGACACGTCAAACTAACGCGCGTCAAATACACGACTGAAACCACGCGGTTAAATAGCCACAGCTCAATTTCCTTTGCTAAAGTGAAAATTTGACTTTTGAAAGCCAGAGGTTGTCATCAACGGATCGTGAATTCATGATTATTTGAACTGCGTTTTTAGTTGGTCTTAGAGTGCACATATCAGAAATATTTGCATATGTGGCGAAAGAGCTCAATGTCCTCAATGCGCTATTTGATAGGAAGCTTGTCCATCCGGTTAATTTTACAGCTCAAAACCTCTAACGCAAGGAATACACACATGCCGTTCGAGGCAACTTTATTTGGTAAACGTAATTTCTAAATCCGGAGATTTCAAAAGAACAGTTTAAGGTACAAACTCTAACAGTGACTCCGATAGAAACGCTTTTTGATCTTCAGTTAACAATGTATCTTTGGTTTGGCGTATAATTCAATACAACAACTTTAACACCTTACACCTTTTCACGTTATATTACTTTCCTTTACTAACACCATATGCATTACAAAAATATCTGTAAAATCAGTATGTTTCAGTATGAGGAAGAATCTGGCAGAAACTTCTTTAGAGGAGGCCATTAAATTGGATAAAAATAGGAATATCGAAACTCGGATGTTTTTTAATATCTTAAGTTTGCATTACGGAGAACATCGGTCTAAATTGCGGTGCATAAGAAGACGGGAGTTAGAACAAAGGGCTAAGTCTTTCTAACGTTTTTAAACCTGCCAATCTGCAAGGCGCCATTGGATTAATCAAGTCAAGTGATACACTCGGATATGACGTTCAATCGCCAAGCTTCATTGATATCTGTCGTGCAATTGTCCCGAGAAAGTCTCCTATTTTCTGACAAGATTATTGAGCAAACTAATCAACTTACGTGTGTTTTCTTCAAGCTGCTTTCAATAAAGTTTGTTGCAGAAATTAATCGGAATTTCCGAAAAATCTTTCGCCCTTTCTTAACTCTAGGGACCAAGGCCCCAAGCTGCAAAATTATCTTCAAAAATTGATACGCCCTGAAAAAGTCAAACGTCAAAAAGTCACCTTCCGAAAAAACCTTTTTAAGTCATTTTCTGCAATACACCATAGTTGCCAGCAAAGGACAGGTTTCACTCAGGTTTTCTGTCTATATACAACCCTTTGAAGTGTCCTACACTGAACCAATCACTCCTTCCACTTGACGCGTGCGTAACATCGAGTTTTCAAAATTACTAATTACAACTTGATAATTATTGCTCAATATTACGGACCCTAGATATTTCATGTATATAAAATAATATCATATAATCAGAAGTACATTTCCGTTACTTATAACACAACTCGAGGTAAAATAATTTTTACCATAAAACAATACTAAAAATAACCTGCCTCTCGTTTACTGTTAAGTTAAATGAAGTTGAATATCTCTTTTACCTGGGCCCTTAAATTTTAAACGTTTATTTAACTTATCTTATCGTGGAGTCTACAGAAACAGATACCATATACTTTTTAACACCTATTTGAAATACTAAAGGCAAAATCGGTTGGATTATTTATCATTATAGCTGAAGCCTGAAGCTCAGCCAACATTACTTTCTCACTGACTGCCCTTAAAATGCTTTAAAACTAAACTGAAAAAAAAATGAACCCAACTTAACAGTAAAGAATTATTACGGATCGTTCAAAACCAAAAAAACCAAAAAAACAAAAAACACATCTCTCCCCTCCCTTCCCCCACAGAAATGAAATAATAAACAAGGGATGGCTCCCTTAGTTGTAAAAGTCAGCCCCCTCCCGACCCGTGAGAATAGCGTCAATCCAAATACTCATGGCCAGGCCACTTGGCGCGGCCACGCAATAAGTTTCTTGAGGGGTCTTAACGCAAAAAGTAGTCCTTGTAGACGAGCTCTTGTGTGAACTGGGCAAATCTACGTACACATCTTGAATGGCTTGGAAGTAAACGATTCCCTTAGGCACACGTTGATGTTCATCGGAGTAGTAACACAGGGCACGTTTCTGTCTGTCTAACACAAACCAGCGCTTTTTCCATGACTTGATGATTTTTCCTCCCAGTTTTGACAGGTATCCTTTGCACGCATGCGCTGTGACGCGCACTGATGGACAGTTTTCTAGCACGTGACCTGTTGAAACCAAGTACTGGACGAGATTGAGGTCGTTATTGTCATGGTGTGATGTTCCATTTTTGACCTATACGATTAGCAAGGTCAAACAAAGTAAAAATTAATATTTATTGCACCATAACTGGAAGTTAGAGAACAATCGTTCTTTTCAATATAGTATAATTTAGTATATTCTATAGATACTGATGAAATACCAGGATTTTTCCTTTTACTAAAATCATAATTTTATCTTTCACGTGTGAGGATAATGGTGTCGCCATGATTACCAACATGATTAGACAATTACAAGAAAACTTCCCGCTCAGGCGCGCGGCCGGTTCTTTTGAAATTTCATCAGTATAAATAAAATAAACAGAACATTACATGGCCGCGCGGGGATACGAATTTTATCTTCTCGTGCTGAAAGTATCTCTCACTCGTTCGCTTCGCTCACTCGTGAGAGATACTTTCAGCACTTGAAGATAAAATTCGTATCCCCGCGCGGCCATGTAATATTCTCTATATATAAATAAATGACTGTTATTCAGACTCATAAAATAGCATCTTATCGCCATTGCGGCAAAAGCTCCACACCAAGAACTGGAATTTCTTATGTGTCCACAATAGTGACGAATGTGTTTCACCTTTCTATGGCTGATAATCGAGTTTACAAAAAATTGAACTTTCTCACTTTCTCTACACCCGATGAAGAATGTAAGCAACTGCTCTAATGTCTCAATTAGTTATCCACCGTTTGCCCCGCCCAACGTGTCACAGACTGATTAGGAAATTCTTGCTTTACAACACCCTTCCAAAAGGGTGTTTAAAAGAAGAAAATTCATCTCAGTTTTTACCTTGGCAGGAAGCCTCTCTTGAATAGCTTTCTCTGTCATCATCTCTTTCCGAGCTCTCTCCGCCGCTGCAACCCTTTCGAGTTCTTCCTGTTTTTGTTTCTCCGATAGAATTCTTTCCATCTCCTGTCTTCTCGAGCGTTCCATTCCAAGAGCTTGTTCAAGCTCTTTCACTTTCTGACCATCGTCTGCGACAGCCGTGTTGTTGTTTTTCTGCTGCAGTTCAGCCAATTGTTTCTCGAGTTGAACCCTTCGTTCCTTTTCGCGTTGAAGCTTTTTGGCCGTTTGGTTTTTAGCTCTTTCGTCCCCACTGCTCCCGCTATCACCGCTCTCTTGCTGTTTGGCATGCAAGTTTTCCGCTTCTTTCTTCAACTCAATTAATCGTCTTTTCTCTTCCTCCAGGCGTTGTTTCCTCTCCTCAAGCGAGCAACCTTTTCCAAGCTGCGATATATCTCGCATGTTTAACGCAGAAAGAACCAGAGGCGCTTCAGAGCCATTGCATCTGATCTTCTTGTATTCTTTCTCCAGATTCACCAACCGTGACTTTTCTTTCTGCATTAATTCTCGCTGGCTCTTGAGCTCCGCTTGGAGCCGTCGCCTTTCTTCTTCAGCTTGCCGCAGTGTCTCCTGCTGTTGTATTTGTAATTCTTGAAGGCGCCTCTGTTCACCTTCAACCTGTTTTCTTTCTTCCTCTCTTTCCTTCTCGAATTGCTGTCGAATTATCTCTCGCTCTCGGTCCAGCTGTTCGGCGGCTTCGCGCTGTTTTTGCTCCAACTCTTCCAACAAAAGTTGCTCAGTTTCGAAAAACTCGAACTCAATTTGCCGTTCGCGTTCCATTTTATCCTGTTTGGAAATCATAGCGTCTTCGATTTCCTTCATGGCCTGTGCGTGCTTTTCCTCTAGCTCTACCAGTCGCTTTTTCTCAGATTCGATCATTTGTTTCTCTTGTTCTTGCTCCCGAGCGGCATTTTCCAACAATTCCATTCGTTCCTCTTCTAATTTGTCCAATCGCTCGCGTTCCTGTTGAAGCCTTCTCCTCTCTTCCTCACGTTCTTGGTCAAGCCGTTGTCGTTCGAGCTCAATCTGTTTCAAAACTTCTTGCTGTTGTTTCTCCAACAACTGAATTCTCTGCTTTTCCTGTTCTATCTTATTATTCTCCTTTTCTCTTTCTTCTTTCAACATCTTGATTTGGGCATTCAGTTCTTCTTCCAACTGTTTTATAACCACAGATTGTCGTTCCTTCATCTCGTCTAATTTTTTCCTTTCTTCCTCTATCAGTTCACTATCAAGCTGCTGCCTCTCGTAAGTTTGCAGCTCCTCTTCCAAACTGTTCAACTCTTGAAGCGCAAGTTGTTGCCTCAATTCTTCAATAGCGACTCTCTCTTTCTCCGTTCCTTCTTCTCCTTCTAACTTTGCTTTCATCGTCTTCAATCGTTCGTACTCTTGCTGCCGTTTCTTTTCCTTGTTTGCCCGTTCGAGCTCTTGCTTCTTGACGTTCTCTTCATACTTTTCTTGTAGCATGGCAAGTTTTTCTTTCTCCTCTTCAAAATGCTGTAGCTCCTCTCGCTGTCTCTCTAGTTCTTTAATTTGCACAGCTATTTCGTCTTCGAAGCTATCAACAGCTTCTTTGTGCTGCTGTTCCATTTCTTGAAGCTTTTGCCGTTCTTCTTCAAGTTGGGATTTTTCAAACTCGATTCGCTCCACAGCCTCCTTGTACTCGTTTTCCAAGGACAACAAACGTTCGTTCTCCTTCTCGAGTCTGTCTCTCTCTTTCTTATCTCTCTTGTATTGCTCAATGGCAAGTTCAACATCTGTTTAAACAGGAAGAAAACGGAAATTAAAGAAGCATTATCATCTAGACTAAATAATTTCGAAAAATGCCTTGGAGTTGAGCTCCAGGGATGTTTCATACGGGTTGAAATAAAGTGAACAAAAAACATTTTTTTCTCGATCTTTTTAAATTTTACAAAGTGGAACTGAAATTTGAAGCTTTGGTATAAGTGGGGAACAGTAAACCCGAGAAACTGGCGATAAACTACAGAAGCAAGGACGAGAACTAACGACAAACGTCAGGATCGGGGATCAAATCTGGTGCTCTCACCAGTACGCCATGTAAACGAAACGTGTAAATACAGATTTTGTGGGAGGTTTTGACAAAGTACAGCGAAACTGTTGGCGTAAGTAGAGCTGTCCTCTCGCGAGTATTCGTCAAAAGGAGAGCTCCCACATCAAAGAACCCCAAGCAAGTAAGCTCTCATGAGCCACGGGCGCGAAGTGTCAAATGACTGACAAATAGATTTACTTAAATTTTCTTCGTCCTTACTTACCAGGATAATACTGATCCGGAACGATAGAGAATCGATTTCCAGGGTTGGATTCCTTGATCCTCTTTGCTTCTCTGGGATGGTTGAAGCGAAAGTAATTAGACTTTCCCAGGCAGATCATACAACCTGTAAGACAATACAATCGGTCACGAAGTGTTATGTGGCGTGACACGCGTGACAAAGCGTTTCATATGAACACGCGATGGAGATGATTATGATCACGCAACGGGCGAGTTCGGAAACCATTTGCATAATGGAAACGAATGCTCAACATCACATTCGAAACTACGATGATAAGACAAGAGGAAAAACAAAGGTGGCAGGTTGACGTTCAAAAAAAAACTGCAAAGACCCTTCTCTAAACGGTCTAAAATGATCTTTCGACTCCTTGTGATCATGCGAAGAAGATAAATCAGAAAATTCACTCTCTACTAGTAAAAGAAAATAAACAAACAAAAAAAAACGCAAATAAACGCTTTGAAGAGTATAGTAAAAGCTCACAGCTCGTACTTTGCTTTTGTACAAAGTTCAATTTCAAGGACGTTTCAAAGATGTATTTTGTATGTGCAGGCAAAATAAAAATGTTTTACTTTCAAGCAAGTAACGATGAATAAATATCAGCGAGAATACCATCCGTTTAGATTTAAATATAGCCAAACGATATGAATATGTAACATCATGGCCAGATACAACAATATTGAGGAAATAGACACTCATTATCCCTCTGGATTCTCTGAGAACGGTTCATAAAACAACATTATGCCTAAATGTTGTTCCAAGAATGGATACATCCTAGTCAAAATTACATTGGAACGTTCATGTACAAAATGTACATCGCACTTATAAAATTGACTTGCAAAGTGCCAACCGAGAAAATGAGATACAACTGAAAACTAAACATCACCTATACAAGCAGAAGTCTCAGTGATAAAAGTGTGAGTTAAAATTTTAATCATTTAAATCAACATTTAAACAGAGGATTTTTATGCCTCGACGGCAATTTATAACGACATAATGTTTGGTTGGTAACAATAGTTTTTGCATTAATACCTACTGCGTCAAACGTGGTTTGTTTGGAGGCATAAGTTTCATTTTCTAATCTTACAAGTCTCTAATGAAACTCTCCGTCAATTTATCAAAACTACATTGAATGAGGTCCAGAGCAGTAAAATTAACAATGAAGAACAATTTCTTCAAACCAGAAAAACGCATAAATGCAATAATTGCGGTTTCTAAAGAAAATTCAAGTCACGACGTCGTTCGCGTCAACGAAACTAGAAATAACACATGCTCATCTTGTTTCATCCTGATCCTTCCCCGACCGATAAATTTAAGCGCGCAAGAAAATAGATTTAAAATTTAAACAAATAAACTACCAAGGTATGAACAATTGGCGCGTGCAGAAAAATAATTTAAACTAAGGAATATTAATTTGGAGAATAACTTACTGCTCAAGTGAGTTTAAAGATGTAAAACAAAGCAGCATGTTGACGCAGAAACTCCTTGCTTTGTTTCAAATTCTCACCGTGATCTGGCAGACTTGCAGGAGAGCAGAAATGACAAGTGCATTTGACCGTCTTGTGACTTTATATGACCCGACTCGGGCTACCGGTTGGGGTAGGGAGGGCGGCGACCAATCGTGTCAAAGGTAAGTTCCCGGATAAGAGCATTGTGAAGTGTAACAAAGAACGAGCCGAGAAAAAGGAATTCTGGATGAAGCAACTTTCAAATGTGTGTCGAAAGTGATACGGCATGGTGTTGGTTTTCTTTCACTTCCCTCTGTGATGGTTTTAGATTTCCTGTCATACTTTACCCAATCAGATGCACAACAAACAAACTCGCCATGACTTGGTCATGCGTCACTCGTGTTTCCAAGCGCCTAAGGAAATTTTTCTTGTTTATACTGACTACTCGCTTGGCCCTCGGGTTATTTTCTTTTGTCTTGTTAACACTTAACTAAAGTGGAACCTCGCCATACGATCGTCCTGCTAAATGTCATTTTTACGAATTATGCTGGCAATCAATCGATTTAAAAGCGTAGTCACTTCTGTACTAACAACCCCTTAATCCGACCACATTTTCCTGGATGAAGTTTGTCGCGTCAACGCTTCAACTTCCAAGATCTGCCTACTCTTCACTTCTGCCAATTAGCTGTTAAACATTTGCCCTGTTGATACTTTACAGGAATTAAAGGAAGTAGCTTGTAAGTGTTAGATTCGTATCCTCATCATCTGCTTGAAATGTTAGGCTAACTTTTCGAAGAGAAATTAAAAATCATTCTCCTCTAGGATTAAAAGACCAATTAACTCATTAAACTACGTTCATACATGCGTATGAAAAGCCTCACTTGCAGGTATGGGAAAAACCTGCCCTCGAACGAACAAGGATTGGACGGTAAAATTTTTTCCTACGAAAAGTTATTGTATATCCTGCTAATAATTACCTCGTTTTTAAACCTAACCACATTAAGGTGGGATATGACAACACACGATAATTGTTACCTTGTGGTAGTCTCGTTGGCTCTGAGATGGGGATTCCATCCACAGAACATAGATTTGCTTTTGGATAAAGAACCACAGCATCCCCATTATATTCCACTGTGCAGTGCTCTCTGTTAATGAAACACAACTACATGTTGAAAATAATCCTGAAATCGCACTATTTTGATTTGATTTTAACACGCTTTGTGATTGCTAGAAAAGCAACTCGCGTCACCTGGTTCAACCAATCAAGTGGGAACCAGATCCATTCGAAACTTAGCCACACGGGTTGGTTTTCCCGCGCTCTGTAGAAATCACGTGCATTAGCTTTTGTTTCTTATTGGTTCATGGCCTTGTTTACGATTTCACGTTTGGTGGTCGTTGGTTAATTTTTTAATTTAACAATCAAACTACTTTCCCGTTCTAAATATGCATACGATACTGAGAAGTTAGCCTTTAAATTCCTCAAGGATATGCTGTGACAAAATTATCCACTCTTGAAATTGCTCAAACATGATAAAGACGTCTTTTAAACTCACGGTTCTATTCCTTTTCCTCTTAGTTGAATGTCGGGTTTGCATGTCTCTGTTGCAACACCGATAACTGTTTTTCCTATGGAAGAAATGACGGCAAAAAATTCAATAAATTTACAGCTCTGACTAAAGGAACAATACTTCTATCCTTCCATATTCAAACATGATCCAAATTGTTTTCCTCTTCCTGAATGGTTCGCTACACGTAGATAAAATGCAAAGCCAATTCTAACAGCCTACCTCTTTTGATTGGACACAGCGTCACGCCAATACTGAGCCGCCCTCCGCCAAGACTCACAAAGTGAGGCTCATCTGTCTCAAACTTCAGCGCAGAGCCAAGCTCAGTGACAGCAAGGGCGCGCTCCTTTAAGAGAGAGACAAAGATTGATGAACACCAAAATAAGACCAACAAAGACGAGAAATTACAGAAAGATGTTGAAACATTTGCGACGACCGAAGAATAAAGAAAAAATTCTGAGTCCCCTGGGTGATTTCGAACCCTCTAATCTTCCGATTTGGCAACCGTATCCTCAATCAACTTTGTTACAGAGATGACGTTGTTGAGCTGAGTCACCTAAGAGGTTCATAACATACTCCCTGTCTTGAAAAGAAGTTAAGGTGTGAATCACATCAATTATCCTAGCTTGTGAGGTTAGCTTTAAAATCAGCCATCATTTTGTTATTAGGTTTCCCAAGGAGAGAGATGCAAAGTAAATAAACGCATTCCTCTCGCGGGCAAAGATGATTTCATATGCCAAAATGAAATGAGTCCCAGCTACGTTCTAATCGAAACCTTATGTGCAGAAGGTTGAAATTTTGTAAGTGCCTTTCAGAGCCTAAAAAACGAAGTCAAATCACTTGGTCATGTACTGTGATCAAGAAAGATGTAACACGATCTGAATCACAGCATCACATTCGGCGGCGATGTTCTGCCAATAGGGAAGTAGAGTCATTGTGGATTTAAGCCATGTAAAGAAGTACAATGGTTACGACAATTGGTGCAGTACTCTAGCAGAACAATATGAAGTAGTACAGTGAATGCGCTAAAAAAATAAATGGATTGGTAGTGCTTGCTCACAAAATATTTTACCTCATCTGCGCTACCACAAAATTTGAGCTCCAATCTCATCTCCAACCTGACAACCACAAATTTAGTCGTATTTTCACATTCACAATTGAAGGAAAAGCCACCTAAATTTCACGGGAATCTGGTAGACAAACACTGAAGTGCTAGACTGACAACTGCAAAAAAAAAACTGAAGAAATTTCCTTAAAAAGAACGAAATCACGACGAGCTGGGAAATTCTGAGAAATAACCATACACGAAAATTTCAACTGACGAAAATTGCGTGCAACGTGAAGTATTGTTTGTTCCGAAAAATGGCCAAACAAACTCAAAAGTTAATTTCCTTCACGAAAAGATGACGCCGATGTCTTTTTATAAAGTGTTTCTGTCACTCACTCAAACAAAATTTTGAATTCGCATTTATCTTGTCGAGTATATTTACCAGAAAATAGGGTGATTGTCGTACAATAATTCCAATTGATAACAATAGATGTTTACCGTAACATGGAATGTTTGCAAGGAACACAGGAAAGGCCTGGCACGTTTGTACTGCAGGGTTTAAAATTACTGGCGTCAAAAGATAATCGTAGTGAAAGGCGCCGCACGCCAATAGGGATTTGAACATCAAATAGAACACTAATCTAATTCGTATGCGAAATTTATCTCCAATTCGATCTTATGTAAACGCGCAAACATGGGAAATGAGATTTTTGTCATTGTTCTTTCCAAATAAGAATGAGAAATAATCTCTAATATGTCTGATTTCTTGCTCTGATAAAGTGGTTCTCTTAAATAAAATTAAATTTAGATAAGAAACGCTGAAAATATACTATAGTGCTTTCAGCAATTAACATAACTCACTAGCGCCTGCTGAGAGGACGCCAAATCTCATTGGCTACGAAAGACAACTCTATCTATCGCTGGGCGGCCATTCTGTGGCCATCACTTTGTGAATAAGCACACAGCATTATCGCTATTTATCGTTTCGTTTAGTCTTAAAATATCGACTTTTGGATCATGCTGTCTATAATACATTAAGACGGCTGAAGGTCCGGTATCTATCGATAGCTCACCAGATCGAATTTACTCAATTCCCTTCAGTCCCCAGCGATCTATCGGCGACTTTTGATCCGCATCGTTCCCCCTGGAAAACCATGTAATCCCCCCCCCCCCAAAAAAAGTCCTCTACCCCTCCCCCCAGGCGATAGAAAATAACTTATCCAATTTTTACCCACGTAAAATTATTTAATCCGTCCATGAAAGGCTTGTTTAAGGTTTGGCAAAAAACAAAACCCTTGGCCCTTCATTCTCAAGATTAAGTCTTTCTTTTCCGTGCTGGATTTGCACATTTCTATGCCTTTTCAACACATAGTTCGAGACTGTTTTAACTCTACCAATTTCAGTTCGTCGCAATTGACAAAGCAGGTGAAAAAGTTGACTGATCTTGCAATATCGAGATTGCTCTTTCTATCACTAGAAGCGTCATATTATTATAAAGTATGCTTGCATAGCGGGTAATAAAAAGAGATCTGAAACAAAGTAATATGATAAATCCTCTCTAAGGAGTGGGAAAATCATTTAAATAAAAGCCATGGGCAGATTAGACAGCGCGAGATGTTTGGTTGGCAAATAAATAAAAAAATAAAACTGTATTAAAACTAAAAATTAAAGGTTAGTCAAAACTGTGTTAAAATTCAGGCCAGAAGCATCTTTAAGGCGAAAAATTTGACAAGTAAATTAGCCGGCTCAAGGGAACTTATCACTTGGATTAATGACTCATAATCAAGCCCAGAACTCAGAAGTGGTTTTTTTGCAATTTCGGATCTCTCCTCACGTTGTTAAACAAAAGTCCAAACAGAGATTAAAAGATCTTTTTTTGAGCTTTAATCCCACATAATCATCATTCGCAAAAAAATTCGACCCTTGAATATTACTTTTATCTCATTTCGAATTTATATTACGAGCAAAGGTAAAGAGTATTTGCCAGTTTTTTTACCTCTAAGTAATAACGAGAACATCTGCGATCTCTTAATGACGAATAATTGCATGTTCGACAAAATCTTCCACTCTTCTCTTCGATCCAATTCGAGCTAAGTACCGATCTAACTAGAGCAAAATTGATTTCAGTTGAAAGAAGTACAAAAACACCGCCCGAAAATGACGGCTGAGGAACTCTAAACAGTAAATATATTCCGATGTGGTAAGGAAAATATTTTTAGAAACGGTAACCAATACATCAATGAAAGGCCATTAGGGTGAAAGGTTGTTGCGTAGTCTAAAAGCTACTTAGCGGTTTAAAGGTAAGTTAAACCATCGGGGGCCTCCAAAACCAGTCGCTTTTCCTTTTTAGGTTTTGACGTTTCAGGAAATATAATAATGATGCATCTTAACCCAGTGAGCAACGTGAGAATTTCCAAGTTTTAAAACAGATGGACCGCAAACATCAAGCAAAACGAACTGGAACTGAGAATGAAACGGTATTCGTCTTTGATCCAACGATTCAAAAGTGTAATTCAAACCCGGCTTAAAAGCAACGTCCATGAAAGTACCGTAAGAGCGCTATTTCTAATTAATGGACTGAAAATTTTTGCGAAGGGTTGAATTACTTGTGGTCAAAGATCAAAGTAATGATCACACTTGTGACAACACGGAAATTTTTTTTGCATAGTAGGAAGCGAGGCGACGGTGCTAAAAAGCCAAGTTGCTAAAAAAGAAGACATGATTGAGGAGATATAGCTTCATCACTCGTTGAAAAGAAGGCAATGATGTCAGTTGCCGCGATTGCGCAACTTGACTTCGAGAACGCCAAAAGAACAAACTTTCTACTCTGAACAATAAAATGTTATAAATATTTCTTCAAGAAAATACATACACTGAGAAAAAGCACAAATACCACATGAAAATCACAATTTATAGCATAGATTTTTTCACTACCTTCCCCTTGCTAAAATGAAATGCAAAATACACAGCCTGAGGAACAGGCTACGTTTATTTCAATAAAAATTTTCTGCTTGGAAAAGAAACAAGAAGAAACAACAAATACGGCCCATTTAAGAAGATAATTTCTACAAAGTCGAATAATTTTCCACTTTTTTTTCTTCACTTAATGAGACTGATAGAAAAGTTACGGTACCTGCCAGCTGATTCTTTGAACTTCATCGCATTACGAACCTCAAGTGCTCGACAAGTCTTACTCTGTTTATCAATTACATTCCGCTATCGCGCTATTTAACGGTTTCAAAGCATTTAAAATATATATGGATGTGCGCAAAAAAAGCGACTTAGAGAGCGACTAAATGGTTAACCACCGATGTCAGCACAAAAGAAAATAATGTGAAAACATCTTGAGCACATCGACTACGAAGTGTTCACCTCAATGAGTTTTTGAGTCTTACTCCACTTGTCCTCCCAAATTCCCGTCAGTCGCTTCATGAGATCTTCATTTTCTTGCAGTTTTTTCTCGGCCTTATCAACCCCCAAAGAACTGGGTACATTGCCACTCTGAAACGCAAAAAGACATTCAACATCAGGTCCATAAGAACGGTTATTTCCCTCAACCTATGAGAGAGATATTACACTTCGCGAACAAAGATTACTTTTTCGATCTACACTAAAAAAAAAAAAAAAGGGAAAACGTATTTTACAGCTCCACCTGCTGAAATACTGCATTTGCTAAAATACGAACAATCCTCATTCTTCTGGCCAAAATTTGACTAAAGCGGTCGATTTCGCCCCTTTTAAAATTAATGGGCGGTAAACGATGTGGTTTGGTTCCTACAAGGCTAAATGAGGGAACCAACCGCTGGCGCCTTCTTTATATATTTGAAACATGTCTTGAAAATGAGGTTAGCAGAAATGACAATGTCGTAAAATGAACCACGTGACCAACCAATGGACTCAATTTTTCCGCCAACACGTCCGAGAGTCGACAACAACAGAAGAAAAAAACAAAACTACATATCATAGAGAGTCATTGCCTTCCACTGCGCGACCGCCAAAGATTGTTTACTTGCTATAGAGCTGAGTTTAAGTGGAACCGGCATTGGGCAAAATGGTAAACAAACTAAATTGTACAGTTAGGTCAAAACAATGTTAAAAAAAACTATTCTATTCGTTTTGCGACAGTCAAAAAGAGAGAGAACGAGAGTCTTTGAAAAGAAGAAACATGAAATTTTCTAAGCGTCCTCGTGAGTCTACAAGCTCTCTAATAAACCGAACTGCGACAGAATCAACGGGAAAGAGCATCTGTACTAATTACTTTACCTTTTCCATCGGAGTGTACATTCGATAAAAGCAGTTCGCGACGAAGGATTTCACCTTGCCTCTTGCCTCGCTGCCTCGCATGGTCGATAGTTTCGCTTGGGATTCCAGAGTTTCAGAACTTTTTCAAAGCAATGCGCTCGCGACAGTAAATATGTCGTGTTGCGGTGGTTTTGTTGAAATGATGAAAAATAAGCCGTAGCCTTATCGACAGACCACCTGCCCTCTTGTCAAGCAGCTGGTTACAAAATTGTCTTTCGTATAGGACAACCTAATCGATCGTTTCAACGCAAAACGGACAAAAAAAATTCACCAACAGATAAAGATGAAAAGAACGCTGTGAGAACCGGTGTAGTTTTAAAAAATACAGCGAGAGCGCAATTGATCGCTCTTCTGTTGTTACGCCTCCGCGGGACTGGATGAAAAATAACTCTTTCCTTCTATTGTTCAGCCTTGCTCAAAACAGTTCCTGCGTATCTGGTTCGACAAAAGAGTAGGGCCAATTTGATTCCGCAGTCAACTACTGTTCTTGAATTATCAACGAAAATCTTTGACAGCTTTCTTCCATTCGACCTCAACTGTTGAGCCTCAACAGGAAACTATTGCATTGAACCCGTCAAGAAAGACCATTGGTAACAGCATGTTCTCCCGTAACAAACCGATTCAAACCGCTCCTCAGTCAATAATTTTTGATTTGCAAATTTTACAATAGAACCAAAGTTTGTCCTCAGCGAGGGCGTAAAGTTTGATTAATTTCATAAAAAAATTTGTCAAAATTTTAAACATTTTGGCCCCGGAACAACAATAGTATTTCATTTTTTATGAACATAACACGCTTTTAGCGCTACATAATTACCGCCAAGAAATCGAATACAGCTTATTACCATACAAATAATAGCAAATCTTTATTTTTGATTGAAAATATTCGATGGTAAAAGGGTTTCCCAGCGTATTATGCTAAAAAAATTACATTAATAAAGCTATGAAAGGATTCCGTTTAGGTCCAAAACAATTCTGAATCTAAACCATTATCAAATTTGGAAAAACATCGATACAATTACAGTAACATTCCCACTAATACTGGATGTGAATCTGTAATCATTTTATCATTGCGTGAGTCTGATGACGACCTACCTTCAACCTGGTCTTCAGAGTCTGTATTTCGAACTGGAGTTCTTTAATCAATTTAACATTCGCATCCTGAAAACACAAACAATCAAAATTTCGTCAAAGGAACTTAGGCTGAAAAATACCATTTTGGCAGTATACCCCTTCACGTAAAACCCAACGGAAAATACAGAACGTTTTACTAACGGAGAATTGGTATTCAGTAATTCTTTGGCCATTTCTGACGTTCGTAATAACCTTTGGGGACCATTTAGTAATCTTTAGGCATCATTTAACATGAGGGGGAGGGGGGTGAGGGGGAGGGGGGTGAGGGGGAGGGGGAGGGGGAGGGGAGGGGGAGGGGGGGGTTGTTGGTCATGTCACAATAAAATGAACCTGAGTACCCTCATAAGTCTCTGTAGTATTTTAAAGATCCCGCCCCATTGGCAGTCAATTTTGTATATCCCCCTTTAAAATCTGTTAGAGACCACTGCTCCCCATCCATCCCCCCTGAAAACCATATGATCCCTCCAAAATGCTCCGACCTCCCCCTCCCCCCCCCGGCGATAAATGATGACTGATTCCTTACATCATACAACACCGGCCTACACAGTTCCACAAAAAAAAAAACACAACAACAACAACAACAACAACAACAACAAAAGGAAAAAAAAAGCACGTTGAAAAGAAAGATAATTCACGTCGTTGATCAAGATAAAAGAACATATTTCCAGATTTAGTGAGAGGAGAATTTTATTCCAGACGAAAAAAAACGGGAACAATTTGCCACCAAAGGCACTATGAATTGTGAAATGCTCTTTTTATATCATGCAGCGTACCAACAAACTGTGTACCCGCCTATTGGTGACAACTGTGTGACTGAAAAAAAGAGAGAAGAGCTGGGAGCGTGATTGACCATCGCTTCCGGTGTACTAAAAGGGAGCAACTTAAAAAAGAGGTCGATTTCCAGAAATTTAAATGTTTTCTGAATTATTTTTGTTGGGGGCCAATCTCAAGAGGAATATTTCCACTTAAAGTTTAATATTGTGTCTTCGCCTAAAAGCTGTGACCAGTATCCGAATTTTGGATCTGAAGGTTAAGGTTAAGCAAGGAAGACGACGCGCGCGGACGCGCAAACTCGTGAGGTAAATGAGTAAAGGCAAAGAAAAGCGTATTACTTAATGTGGCTTACAGATGATGAGAAGTTCACGAAAAGGTTGAAGAACGGATGAACAGACGAATGAATAAATAACAAAAAAATAATTACTGGGTTCTTCGAGGAAAGGGTACATATAGACGAACGAATATTCAGATGCTTGGTATGAATGAATGGGGAAGTCTTCTCCAGGGAAAATGCCAAAATCAATCCCCTTAAGTTCGCGCTTTGTAAACTTTCCTCGTGTCTCCTCTACCCGTGAGGGTAAAACCGCGCCAGGAAACCGGAAGAAAGCGTGGTCTTCCGTTTAAACACTATTCATATGAATGTACTATTGCAAATTAAAAAATAAAATTCTCACCTCGTTCACTTTTGGTACGTTCATGATATTCTTGGCCTGGTTGGCAAATCGCAAGGTATTAAGAGTCTCATTATGGGACGAAGCTGCTGGAGACACGGCTGCTACCATGACAGTTTGGCAATTTCCACCAAAACAGTCTTTTAAAATCCATGTCAGAGCCTGTATCAGTGAATATCAAGTTATCAAACACTGACGTCAATGACGCAGTTAACAGCTGAGGTATAAGCATTACTCAGCTGGCAAGTTTACTTGTCCAGCTTGAAACAATGTGTGATCTTTAAAGTGGCTTAGCTCCGGCCCAGAGAACCTTCTCATTTAGTGCATATTTCTGTCAGTACAAAATTTTTTAGCTACATTCCCGCAACAATTTTCACTTACTTTGATTCAATTCAGTATATGCTAAGACAAATCAACAAATAGTCTACAGTATTGCATCAGAACCAGAACTCCAACTTAATAACACCTTGCTATTGTGGCCTCTCCGTTTTGGCCTCAGAAAAAAAATTCTAAGGTTTATTTCCTCCACTATAAAGGTTTTGTTAACTGATTGGGCAGATGTGGCATAAAGATTAGCACACAGGATATTGGATCAAAAACCCCTTGTTCAAGCCATGGTTGAGTCATCGTGTGTGGTAGACTTGAGAAAGACACTTTGTTCACGCAATGCCCTTTACCACCCCACAGGGTAAACATGGGTACCAAAGAAGGGTTAGGAATATCTGACAAAATGTGAAGGGAGGAGGGGGAGGGGGAGGGGGAGAACTCCAAAAGACCAGCATCCCATTCAAGAGGGGTTGAAAAACTTCTTTGTTGCTTCATGCTTCAGAAAGAGGGATTACGACTTGACCCTTCCAGCTGGCTCTTAAGTTGTTTTTTTCTTCTGGATGGAGGGAAGGATCGTGAGAGAATTTTCCAAAAAGACAATAGCCCCAGCTAGTTGGCAAGGGCTTAAAACAAAGACAGCCTTTTATGTGTGCAAAGGCTTGCTTTATGCAAACTCATGTACTCACTGAATCCTTGTATGGGACAGTAGCACTGTTAGAAGACTCTGAGTCTGGGCATGCTAATGATGACATCACTCTTTCCAGGGTCATTAGAGACTTGTCAACATCAGCAGCAGTAGAGCAGTTATCAGTGCACTGTGAAAGACAAGAAAAATTTATATTACCAGGCAAGTAATACTAAATCTAGATGTGCTGACAAGCATCAAATCAGTACCCCAACAATGACAGTTACAATAACATGCAGTGATTAAAAAATTTGATAGTTCTAATTGATCCATGCAATGTTTAGTGAGCAGTAAAAAGTTCCAGTGCACAAGTTTTCAATTTTTTTTTTGTATCTATTGTAAGGTTATGATTATGGTTATCTCACACAACCTGATTATTGCCTTCTCTACCGTTTTATAGGGCTAAAACTGCTACAGAATCTGTGAAGAGGAGATTCCCATGCCAAGCCATGGGAAATATGATAACTCCGTTAATCCAAGAGGACATAGGCACCGGTATCTCAAAGTTAATTGTTTTGTCTTTTTTTTTTTTGAATAAACTTTGCAATCAAAAGTTACTAACTACAGCTCTGGTTTTAGGATTGGCCTAATCTACAAAAGATAAAAATTAAGCCTGTTTCATTGTTCACACAACTTTTCACAATTACACAATTCAACAAACAGTGAGGGAAAATGGACATCAAATTATTGCATAAAATATTGTACAAAGTGACACTTTAAAAGTGTAAAGTTCTTACCTCATCATGTATGCTCTTACTGCCAGCTAAATCAACAAGTTGAATCACACTGACCATTTCACAGGGCAAGCCATCTTCTAAACGAGCCTAAAATGTATGATTACATATACAAAAAAGTTTTGAAATGTACAAAAATTGGACCTAATTCTTGAGTCATACTGATGGCAAGAACAAAAATTGGACCTAATTCTTTAAGTCATATTGATAGCAAGAATAGTTTCTGACTATTAAGCCCAACTTCTGGATGAGGAACAGGATAAAATTTATTCTGTTTGTCGTCCAGTGTGTGGTTCATGTTTTTGTCCTTGCAATGACTGAAAATTACCATTTTAGAGCTAGGGAAATTCACAACAGTGATTGAAACTACCTTTCTGGTCGATATTAAACTGCCAAAGTGTATGATGGCAATATGGATAAGAATGATGCCTATAACCAATAGCATCTAATCTAAAATTTATTACCTGCGTAAACCTTAAGGTGAAAATTGTATGAGAACCACTAGCAAAGGAGTTAGAAGACCTTGAACATATTGACCTGTAAAGAGCAAAAACAAAAAATGATAAAATATCAAAAGAATAATGTCACAAGTTGGTCATTTTGAGAATTTGGAGAAGACCATTATTTAAACTGTATATTTGTCATTAAAAATTTGTGTTAATCTTTGCTTTCTTTCTTACTGCCTGATTTAATATCATGTCTTCGCTGTTTGTCTTCTAAGGCAGAAATTATCATGATTAAGATGTTATTCGGTATCTAAGGTGATTTTCTGTGACGCTCAAAATGCCTGAAAGTATTGCAATGAAGTTCCTTTATCAGTCCTTGAGTTTGCCCTTAACCTAATATTGCTTTGGTATTCATTCTCTATCCAGATGAAGACCAGCAGTATAGTCATTCACATGGTCGGTTAGTTAGTATCAACAAATAAAATTAGATATGCTTTTTTTTTTTTTCAGATGAGATAAAACAGTTAATTTTGTTAAAAACAATTTCATGACTTCAAGTGAACTTGATCGCATATCAAAAGATATTAAAATCATCCTTGGAGCAATCTAGTATGTTGATCATTGCTCCTGGAGCTAATATCATTATTTGTAAATAACAACATTGTTCAAAAGTTTGATGAGTTGAAGCACATTCTAATCCTTTACACGTAAATCAACCCACCATAATAAATTGCCCCTTTTTTCCTAACATACACATGTAAGACAAACTGTATTAATACACTGATCCATGTTTAATAGTTGATTGGGAACTTTGTAGCTTTCCACAGATAGGAACACCACATTTCAGGAAATAACACACTAAGATCACGTGCATGATATAATATAAAAAAAAAATTGCTTACTAATATTGCCTCACCTGTTTTTCTTTCCTTTATCAATTAGCCCCAATGCTTCACTAACATCTGAGACTATGTGTTTAGTCAACTTGTCAACATAAACTCCCAGTTCACGGTGTTCTCGCACTGCAAAAGTAATTTAGAGAGACTTAATACATGAAATACTTAATACATGAAAGAAACTCATAGGAATAAGAAAAGCAGTTCTAAAATATATCAAACAAAATCTGACAACTTATGAAAAATAGTTTGTGGTTTGTATAACACTGGGTTTTATTTCCAACAAGAAGCTTATGTGATACCTTTTGGAATTTTCAAGAAACTTTTACCTGCAATGAAACACATCAACACACCAGCCACAAACTGTTTTTCATTAGCATTTGACTTTTTTGTATTACTTTTTAAACTATTAATATATTTTGAAGTAATTTGTTTTAGGGTACTCCAGGTAAGCACAAGAACAAAAACATTGGAAATAAAATATCAGTGCAGAATGCATTAAATAATTCATTTTTAAATGTCTTGTATGTATTTTTTATGTATCAAAATACATACAAGACAGTGTCCCCTTCTACTCAGGTAGTACCATTACACATGTTGACAGAGGGTTTGAATCTTTATCAAGCTGCACTTTCTTCTCATGTTTTTACATTCAACTTCCTTGATAGAATCCATTTGGGAAAGTATTCCTCTTCAGGTACAACAGATTTGCTTAGAATCACTTTTGTTACACCAAGATGTGAATTTGTTAGTTCTGCATACCTCTTAAAGAGTCTTGCCAGTTTCTTCTTCTCCCCAACAAATCCTTCACAAATTCTTTGTGTATTTCAAGAAAACTGAAAAGATAGTTTTAGTGTAAGTTTCAGAAAAACTAGAGGCAAAACTGATAACTTGCTAATTCATAAATGAAGAAACTGACCATTGCATACTGTGTCAAATTAATGAACCTTCATAGTAATAATTTAACCATTTAACTTCCAAGATCTGATTGTTAATTCTCCCCTCTAGCTGCTACACATTTCCCTGTAACTTAGTTATTAGAATTTGGTGTTAGATCAAGACAACAACCTGTACCTGATAAGTTTGAGAATTCTCAATATCTCTTTGCTGGATAAGGTACGGATATCATAAGGAGAAGTTATATGTTAATCACTCCTGGTAGTTAAAGGGTTAAAGTATCATTAACAACTTTAGTTAATAAATGAAAGTTTTTTGTTTTTAATGCATACCTTACTTCTGCCCTAAATGAAGTGTCATCTTTATAATCTGAGGCTCTTTTGAAAAGACTTTGGCAAATCCAAGGAGTAAGGCCTTGAACTTTATCAGAGCCGTACATAATGAAACTTTTACCACTTCCACATGCTCCATAGCTGAACACACAAGTGTTATAGCCATTAAAACAGGACGAAAGAAGAAACTCGCCAACATCTTCCAAAATCTAAGATAATACCAAGTATAAACATTAGCTTCTGGTCTAGAATTCCACACATATCACCTCAGGGATTGAGCAGGATGGTACAGAGGCAAGAATAGTGCTTTCTGCTGTGTTTAACTCTTTACACCCTAGTGTCACTAAGCATATTCTCAATACTGTTCTCTATACATTTCTCATGGTATTGACATAGAGAATTTGTTTAACAATCAAGAGTTTTTAGAGTGTGGGGTGGCCATTTTCTGTATTCTTATAAATTTTATGTTAGATTCAGCAGTGATAATGTATAGAGAAATTGGAGACTAGTCACTCTTAGGGGTTTAAGTTCAAGGGATGAATTTTCCAACCTGACAAAGCATTTTGATCAGTATTGATGTTGCTGTATGATTCTTGTCTACCTTATTCCAGGAGTTTTTCTCTAGGTTCACTATTTTATCCCCTTAACAGATAACACTAAAAAACACGCTGATTGTTATCTGATTATGATGAATAGGAGCTTTTTGCGCTGTTGGCAGGCATCTCGACTGGAACATCAGTGGTCAAATGGTAAAACATCAGCTAAGTTTCAGTCTGTGATGAGCCAAACATTTTCTCACAAATCGATTGCTTATCATTTACACTATTGCCTAAGGCAAACTATATCGTGCATGATTCATCAGGTCTATGCGAATGAGCTTGATCTGGTGGACAAAATAATTACAAGTAATTTTCATTTCTCCATGGGTAGAAATTTAAGTTCAGATGTTCAAACATTAATTTCCACTGACGTGGGAGTGTTTCAATGGGTACTTGAAGCTATTTTCTTTCGAGTGTTCTTCAGCTTGAAGGAAAATCGAAAATATCATACTGAATGTGTTAATGTAATTACAATTGCCTATGTGAGAGTTTTTGCAACCTTAACTTCACCTTTTTGACACAAAGGAAGTGGTTAAACATTACAATTAAAAGCTGTCATAAATTGAGTCTCAGCAAATAGAGCGCTCAATATCTACGCAAATATCGATATTCTCAAAAAGTGAGGAGGACCTTTAATTAAGTTCTGAAACAAAAGGTAAACACTATTATTTTTGTTATAATAAATGATGGCTGAACGTGTATTCTGCCGCAGATAACTGAACACGAACACTTCGGCGTGTCAAAAAGTAACAAGGTTACATCACATACAGTACTAGCGTCGTTATTTTTAGGCGATTTCTTAGGCATAAAAATATTTCGTGGAGTTGATGAAGTGTTCGAAAACTTGCCCACCTCATCAGTGGAATAGGATAAACAAAAAACCTTCCTCATCCGGCCCGAAAACATCTCCCATTTCGAAGAAAAACTGTCTTCTCCGGTCGCACCTTTATTACCATGCAAACTTAAATGAAAAAATATGAAGCGAAAATATATTTACTTCAAAAGATTAAACCACTTTAGTTCGCAGACGAATAATCATTCACGGATCATTGGACGACGATAAGATCAGGTTTACAACCGTTTGGTTCAATTTGCCTCCAGAGCAACTAACTAAATTGATCGATAAATTTATTTATAGAATCAAACCACAATAAAAACCGGGAAAATACTACGAAACCTCGAAAGTTTCTCGATTGCGCGTGATGTTATTGTTATTGTATTGTCTGCATTGAAGGAACTCAAGATTTAATATTAAAAAGCTTAAAGAAATTAGTTTTAATCTTACCTTCTCCTGTGGTTCGGCGAGCTCTGTCGGCAAATTACAAAACTACAGAAGGCAAGATTACCATTTGAATAATTAGTCGATAAAATTACCAATCTGGCTAATGGCTCCAAAAGTAAGTTACCTAATCCAAAACCAAATATTTTATTCAAAATAATAACAGTAGCTTTCACAGCAAGCGATCAATACACAAGGCGAACATTCAATATCCAACTTGCACAAGGAACGCAGGTGATATGGTTGTGACAAAATGCAATTTACTAAATTGGACTATGTGGGACTCACCGTATAATCAAATTTAAATAGTTTCTCATGGCCACTATCTGGATTGAGCACCCGAATTTCGTCGTTTTGCGTCCATACCACACATTCGTCGCCATTTTCCTGTTCGTTCTCGCTTAACGGTCTCACTGCTACAGCGACACGGACATTCGCTTCAGCCGCCATTGTTACGCTCGAATTCTCGCGCCAAAAATAGTTTCAAACCGCGTAAGAACAGTTGTTCGTACCACTACAATGCTCTATGTAAAATCACTTCGCTGCGTACACACAATAACTTCGTGGATTGCACGATCTGTCCTGCTTAAAATGCTTGTCAGATTACTCGGCAAATCCTACTAGTAGGTGGTGTGGGCTCCGCCGGAAAGGAATTCTAACATTGCTAAAATCGACTGTTCGGTGGGATCGCTAACACGCGAACAACTTCCGCCCGGATATGACGTTTTGAATGGGTGTACTGAATACATAACTCTTCCAAAACGCACCCCAGGATTCCGACCTGAAGGTCACGCTCTACTCGCAGCAGGAAACCAACCATTAAAGCATGCGCAAGGAGGCACTTTCAATCATTGATTATCGCATGTTCGCCCTTCCCCGCTTTTTCTCCGTTCAGAGTCGTCTTATCGAACGAAATTTGAACTTTCTAGCAAGATAAATAATAGACTAACAATTAATTAGATGACTTCCGTTAAAAGGAAGGTAACATTTTAATTTCACGCTCTGAACAAAAATGTAAACATTATTAATTGCTAATTAATATTCATCCTTAATACCTTATTTCGCTAAGTTTTTTTTTGAACCTCTACTACTCTGAGGGGGTGAAGGGGAGACTAAAAACAAAAAATGACAGTTTTCAAGACTTGCAAATCGGGGAGTTGTAGCCATAATCATGACGAAGTCCTCACGAAAAATTTAGTATCCATACAACTCGACTCTCAGCGCAATACATGAGGACCAACTTGCAGGTCGAATTTTAATCCAATCGACAAGTAAAGGAGCTGAGAGCTGGTTTGTAACTACTGTTTCCTTGTCAAAGTTTGCCTGGTATTCCTGTGGAAACAACAAGGTGAAAAGAGACTTCTTTTACTATGGACAATTGTAAGGCAAAAATATGGAGGAATTAAAGTATAAATTAAAATATCACATTTGAGCGGAAAAAAACTCGTTTTAGATGCAAATAATAGTTTACTTTTACCTTGAGTAAAGATCCACTAACATTTCGAACACCATATTTGATAAAGTAACTTTTCACCCAACAGCGATCGTTTGGGGATCCCTGTGTTGCTATGGCAATTATTCTGACCCAGTGTTTAAATTTAATCGTGATGGTCTCAGTTTTACGATTGTTTACTGGCATCCAACAAGATGGTCCGTTCAGACGACTTTTTCCCGCTTCGTGACCTGGTTTTGATGATGTAGCGACGATATCATTGTCTGGGATAATTCCGGTCTCCATGCCTAATGATTTAAGACCTTACAAAAAAACAAAACAAAAACAAAACAAAACAAAAAAAGAGAGAGAGAGAACCCTTAACAAGTCGTTTTATTAAAAAAAAATTGTTGGTGATTCTATAATATAGTTATTCAGGGGATACCATGCAAAACATTTTATTTGGTTATCCTCTTTTTTGTTCAACTTGGGCAAAAAGATTCTTACTTTTACAGCGAGGACCGCTGAATCCATCAAGACACTGACACTTCAAGCTCGGATTGCTAATACACTTTCCTCCATTTTCACAGCGCATGCTCGTACAAGGATCATGGAAGTGGATCACCACAGACACATGAACAACTCCACTCTGTTCCACTATGTCTTCAGGAAAAACATCCCTGGTTGCGTTATTCAGTTCACAAGTTTTATGCAATAAAAAGTAGTTGACACTATGACATTGCCACTCCAGTTCGCAAGAAAAAGTGCAGCTCTCAAAAGTTTTACGTTGTAATGTGTATATCACGTGACCTGTCAGGATACGACCTGGTTCTGAAAAACGCGTGGGACAGTTGTTAGAGCCAGCGGAGTTTTCATACAAGATAATTATGTGAAGTAAGATAAATTCCAAATGTTTAGACATCGGTATCACTTGATTAATGTTTCAGATCGAGGGTACATAAAATTCATCACATGACCTGAAACAAAAGTAATATTGGTAAGATTGATTTAGTGCATGAACCAAGACAACTGCACGCTTGTTACGATCTTGAGAAACATCGCTGCAAAGCTAATTCAGTGTGTTCTGTCGTTGGAAACTAAGGGAACGTTTCGAAAATAACGCACACGCGAGAAAGCTCTATGAATGTTAGGGTTTTTTGTTTTTTTTAATTCGGCCAAGTATCTCAAATGATTAAACTTACCTGACGCTTTTCCATAGCTGTAACGAGGTTTGTAAATGTCTGTTCAAGAATCTGAATTCAACTGCCTGAATCACGAATCGATCGAAGAACTGCAGATATCGATAAAATGAAGTTATTGCAGAAATTGAGAGATACAGTTTAGTTCCGTGGCTGATTAGTTCTCATTTGCACAGAATTAAATATTGATTTCAGAAGGAATCATTGATGAGGTGTTGATGGCAAACCTTCTTCTTAGATGAAATATAACCGGTACTAAAATTAATTTACCAATAGTCATCTTTGAGAAATCACTTTTCTCTGATTCAAGCCTATCACACTCCTTAATTTTTCATATAAATCTACAGTAACAACTACCATCTATCACATTTTTAGTTGTAAAATCTGAGTCGTTATTAATCAGTGATGAAATTTCAACACTTTGTTAATGTCAGTATAAACAAAAGGCAAATTATTTCCGACATGTACAATTGAAATCTTAATCTTGTCCGATAAATCTTTAAGAAATTTTTTGCTCAATTTGAGTCCTTAGTTTTGTGTGATCGAGGCGTCAATGAGTTTTCCCCTCAGCAATGGGGTGAAAAGCTTCTAACTTTCTAACATGTCCAAGGAGCGAAATTTCAATCTTGAATCTTTCAGTAAAGCACCAGAAAAAAAGATAAAGAGGATGAAATAAAAGGTGCATGGTTGACAAATGCTTCCCCTGACGGCTATAAAAGAGATGAGATTTACCGTAAGCTGCTAATTCCTCTCTGCATCGGGAGAAAAAAGATCTGGCTTAAAATTTTAATTTCGTATTTTAACCACTCATAATGTACGTGTCTTGTGTCAAAAAATTACCGGATAATCGTCATTCTACTGTTTCCCTTCCGACGAAATGAATTAGTACATGCTTTTATTTGTCACTATGCACCGCTTTATTAACAGGTCAGCTCAGACAATCTGTCAAAATCGCTGACAAAACTCAAACATCTGAGGGTTTTTTTCCAATTAGTTGGAGATTTTAAGCTTTACAGTCGTACATAAAATGGCAAACGTTAATCAGTATACAAATAGTCTATCACGTTAGTTTGCATTTTTTCCTTACATTAGCAAAGGGATTCAGGCAATCTTGGAGCGAGGAAAGGAATTACATATTTAACGCTGCCTGTAAAGACTTGTAAACAAGGTTTGGTCACCCAGCATGCACCTGCCGCATCTCCATTTGCTGTCTCCAATCCATCAAACGCGGGCGGTGAAAGTGGGCTGTACAGAAGCGTGAAATGCGATCGTGATGCTTATGGCCGCGCCGCGCGCGTCATGAGACGAGTGACAACAAGGCAGGTTTGTTTTTAGCACCTATATGCGATTAGCGTAGTTTTCTACGTAGAGTAGAGTATCATACATAATTTGCAATTTTATTGATCCTGAGGAGTAGACCAGACCAGACCCAGCTGTGTTGTGCGTCAATATCATAGGCGTGATCTATTTAACAAACAGGTTTCAGTCGTTTACGGATTGATGATCTATTACTGTACAGACCTACGGTAACATGGAATCTATTTGTTTTATAGGTTGTTAACGGTGTTGTCATGTAGTTTTCGCTCTTGAATGATTTGCGACAGAAGTAACTGTGATAGCCTTGTTTTTTCTTCTTTTATTTTGGCTTTAATCCAGCTGTAGCATCGAAGAAAATAAATTGTAACCTAGACAGAGATATGGGCATTTCCTTTTCTTAAAGCGCGATGTAATCATTGTTTTGATTTTTCAACTCAAATATATTTTGATCTATGCCATCAAAGATTGAGAGGAAAGGAAGGTATTTATTTCTTACCCTTTAGCTCCCAGGAGTGATTTAAAACTAAAATCTCTCTAAAATATCCATACATTATCCAGCAAACAGGTAATAAGAATACTAAAACTTATCAGTTAGAAGTTGTTACCTTGAGCAAGCATCAAATTCTTGTGACTTACTAGCAAGGAAATGTGTAGCAGGTAGAGGGGAGAATTAACAATCAAATCTCGGGAGTTAAAGGGTTAATTAGCCTTATGAACTAGGGTATGACGCCACAGCGATTAAAAATGCATTATCGCCTGGGAATTTAGTAGTCTGTTACTAAGGTAAGCGATAGAGAGAACCATATGATTTCGGTAGGAATACGCTATTTATGATATATGACATTAACTGCCGGCAGTATTCGACGAAAAAAATACTCTTGAAAGTAAAAATAACTCCCTAAATGGTGTGACAGATCATAGACTGAAATTCGAGCTTGTCCAAGAAGACGCAAGACCGATAGATCATTGACGGAAGAAGATTTTAACGCAAGCTTAAACGGATGCGGTCAGACGTCATCATACCGCCGATGAATTAGTTTCTTACCTATTTGTAGCCTTGGTTAACTTTATTGAAAAACATAAACAGTAATTTTTGGTGTGTGGGACGAAGATCAGCGAGCCAACAGGAACATTGTTCAGTCGAGCAGCCGATTGATCAGGACGACAATATTTGCGGAACATCTTGGTTCATTGATTTCTCCTCTAGAAGTCGTGAAGCCAAGGAACAGCGTTGTCGGAACTAAAGCTATGTCTACGACTATTAATAAGGCAATGAAGGGAAAAGAACTGTTCAATTTGCTTCATCCAAGATTTCCGAGCATAGTCATTCAAGGTAAGATCTTTCTCTTGCGCAACCAAACGACTAGGTTTTTTTTAGATGCATCAAGCCTTGGCAGGTATTGACCAAGAGGGCTTGTTAAGATACGTAAGATTATTTTTGCCTTGCTCTAAAAATGGAAAATCACAACGGAAATGTGTAACGGATGAGTTTTCAGACTTGGCATTGGAAAAATAAAACGAGTTGTTTTTCTTTTTAAAACTTTTTACCTCACCTGATCATTCTTCATCAACGCTCATCGACAGCCGAGAGTATATCTTACCAAAAATAACTAAAAACAAAGTAGATTGTACAACAACAATGACCTCGAAGGTTAAGCAAATATGCCTTACTTGACTCGGTGTTCGGTCGTTTTAGAATTTTTGAAAAGGTGAGAAGCCCTTTAGCTAGTGGTTGGAGTAGAGATCACGAGGACATGGGTAATTTTATAATCGTGAGATTAACTAAAAGGGCTTCTTGTCTTGAGATCAGTAATTTTTTTTTTTATTTTCCTCTCCTAAACATAACTGTTTAAGACGTTGTGTCATACTTGTTTAAGTTTGAGAGAATTCTTGAAACTATATCGATTGAAACTATATCTAAGTCGATTAACAACGTTAAACATGCAAGTTCGCGTTCCTTGAGTTGTTAGAGAGACATGTAATTTTTTAAAATATTCAAATATGCGCACGTTCCCTTAATCCGTTTGACACTTTCCGATGACAACTTAAAGACATTTTGACAGGTAAATTCCAGCTGGTGAATTAAAAATGAAAATAAACTCACACACTTGAACTAAACCGCCCGAGAGCAGAAAAGAACTTCTCAGGTTTAACGAAAACAAGACCCTGGCAATGTAAATTGGTTATGTTGACTGAACTTAGGTTTATTCAGCGGAACTATGCCAAAAATGAAATCCGAATTTACACTTCTTTGGAGTCACGGTCATAAAAGGTGCTGCAAACAGCTCGTAAAGTAAAACCGTTGTCTTTTAAGGAAATTGCAGTTATCTCTTCTGGAGATTTTATCAACAAAGTTTAATGTACTTTTCACACGTTGATCAACTAAAAGAGAGTTTTCTTTTTCTATCACGGTTCGTGCAACCGACGGTATTCCTTGTGAAATGTCACGCTTGTGTTTCGCGTGAAGATCATCTTCAAGAGTGAAGATTCGTGAGTCACTTGAGTCTTCGTGAGTCCCGCCCTGTTCTTGTACACTACCCGCAGTAACGATCATCTGATGTACAGCTGCTTCATGGCCAATCTGTGTAGTGTAGCAGTATTTTTTTAGCCACGTACACCGCGTGTAACGACCGGAAAAGGAAACTCACTCTTGTATGACTGTAGTATTTGCCAGTAAAATTAAACAACTCCATTGCGAAACAATGATTTTGGCATGCATAGCACCTTAAAGAGAAAGAATTTTGCTTCTCTTGCTATACCTTACAGACTGTTTAAGTGTAGACTCTAAGACAAAAACTTTTTGATTACATAATGATCTTTGTTTTTGTTTTTCCTCTGTTAAGCCATCGTGGTCGTCTTAAGCAGCAGTGTACAAGTAAATCGAGCAACCACAATTACAGTTTCACCCAGCTCAATGGTGTCTTCCTCATCAGTACTCCAAAGGGATTTTACCACGATGCCTTCTTGGTCTGTTGTAAGAACTAGCACGTCTTCCTTTCAATCGACTTCCGTTGTTTATTCATCCCCAAGAACTTTTCCTTCATCTCCCGCATCAAGCATGACGAACAGTGTCGTAAAATCGAAATTTACAAAGACTGTTACTACCTCCGTGAGTTGCGTGACACTAACGTCTTCAATACCTATCACACAGTATAAACATACAGCAGTGCATGTCACGCCAACAAAAGTGGTAATTACCCGTATACGAGGAATTCTAAGTATGACGATTATCACGGTGATAGCAAGTGTCTTGGGAGTAATCCTTCTATTGCTCTTAGCTATTATAGTAAGTATAACTCTGATTTTTTAAATACTGCACCGCCTTCATCACAGGTGTATTACCTTGAATAATTCTCCGCAAGAACCGAGATAGCCAGCACCGAAAAATTAATGAAGCTCCTAAAGCTCATGATCATCACAAAGATAAATTTAAGAACGAGTCCAATAGAATCTGTAATCCAGTCTTGCAGCGGAGCCTGCATAAAACTTCTGATAAAGCCACAATGTAACCAAGTAAACGACAAGTTACGAAATTCTCATCAGCTCCACTTTACCTACCTTCATAATTGCCCCCCCTCCCCCCACTACCCAAGCTTTTTCACCCACATCTATTCTATCATTTTCTTAACCCTTTAACCCCCAGAAGTGATTAACACAAAACTTCTCCCTACAATATCCGTACATTCTTCAGCAAACAGGTGATGAGAATATTAAAACTTATCAGGTAGAAGCTGCTATCTTGATCTAGCACCAAGTTCTCATAACTAATTTACAAGGAAATGTGTAGCAGCTACAGGGGAGAATTAACAATCAGATCTTGGGAGTTAAAGGGTTAAAAGAGCAAGAAAAACAGTTACATACTCAGTTCTTGTTAACTGTTAAATTTAACGAGCGTCTCGCCCTCGATGTCGAAAACAGATGCACTTAATTGACACTGGCGAAATTATTTCATCAACGTCACCATCTCCGACCCAACATTTACAAGCATTACTCAAAATCTTTACCGAAGTCTTTTATTTTCAGATTTGGGATCTGTGTATCGTGCACGTATTGCCATGGAGGCCGACATCACGTGTGGAGCCTCGTGGTGATGTGTCACATGTTCGTAGTGATATGGTCTGAGCATGACAGCCATGTACTTACCACTAGTCAAGGGGCATGTACGACGCGATGCAACTTCAGACAATTTTTTTGGTCTCTGTGTTATCGATGTCATGAAGGCACCTCTGATCTATTTTGAGACAGTCATAAGTCATGTGAATTAAGCATCAACTAAGTGAATAAAATAATAGAAGATCCATGATCGAGTAGGCAAGGGCGATAGTTTGTATGAGAGAAAACTTATACACAACAGCCGCCGGTGACAATCGAGTCAGCGGTATTCATCATTAGCTTCAAATGGGGAGTCATTTGTCGGTCGAGTATAAAATTGACCAATCAGTGTTCACTTAAGCTAGACCCACTTCGTTCTGATGTCAAGATGACTAAATCCCATTCGCGTTGCCCAAACATCAGTCATTCTTATCGATAATATTCCTCTTCAGACTGATCTGAACGCCACTATCACTGTTACTACTGAGTTGATACTATTGTGTAAAAGAACAGTTTCTCTCGGAAAAATGCAATAAATGTTGGGGAATACGAAAAAGGACTGAAATTTGTCACCAGAAACCTTCAGTAGAATCCACATTACGTTGTGTTAAAAATTTGTAAATTATGGGAAAATGCAGTAACTGTGAATAAATGCTGTAATATAGCTGTAAATACTACTGTTTGTGAATAAATTGAAAACCACTTTCAATTGTAAATTTCTCAGTTTTCTTTTTTTTTTGCAGCCATATACGGTTTTTGACGACACACACCTTACATATGCGGGCGGTGATCTTGAGAGTATACAGCTTTGTCTGAATGAGGACTTAAAAAACGTTTTCAACTGGCTACAAGCGAATAAACTCACACTGAATATGACAAAAACCGAATTCATGCTAATAGGGTCAAGGCAGAGACTGGGTACTCTCACAGCTTCACCAACAATTAGAATGAACAGCACTCAGGTGAGCCAGGTTACTTCTACAAAATCGCTTGGTGTGATTATAGACGATAGGCTCGATTGGCATAGTCACATCGAAAAATTAACAAAAAAGATTGCCTCTGGTATCGGGTGCCTAAAGCGAGTCAGGCATCTGATCCCAGCATCGACCTTACATCTGCTTTACCAAGCTTTAGTAAAACCTCACTTTGATTACTGTGACATTGTCTGGGGTAGCTGTGGGATAACGCTACGAGATAAGCTGCAGAAATTACAGATTAGAGCAGCCCGTGTTTTGACATTTTCCAGCTATGATGCCGATGCAACTAAGCAACTTGAATTTTTAAGTTGTAAAAATCTGACAAGCCAGCAGGAAATTCATAGAGTTACCATGGTTTTCAAATGTCTGCACGGGCTAGCTAATAATAATAATAATAATAAAGTACCCATACACTTTCTTGTGAAGTGCAAATTGAAAGAGCTCTTAAAGAGCCGGGGCCGCCCGTGTCAAAACACATTGTATTGAAATCACAAATACACTCTTTTTATCATGAGAACGTCTAATTTTGGGGCTGAGGCTGAGGCTGAACATTCATATTTTTCACTGCGAAACGAGTCTGAAAACTTTCTTATTAATCTGTTCTTATCACCCTAAGTATTTGAGCTAATTGTCCTGTTAGACTACAGTTTTATATTTATCGTATCTTTATTTTATACTTCTTACAAAAGGAAGGAGGCAAAATAGTCGTTCTTAACTGACTCTCAGCCTGGGAATGTTCTTAGCATGTTCTAAAAATTTTGGTTAACTTCAGCCTGGACGTTCTTACAAATTTTCACACCATGACATATTTCAGCGCCCATTTTCCATTCTGTGTGTTCGGCAGTAGATCGGCATTTAATTGTTCATTTTCCAAAAATTAACATTCAAAGGACTTAGGAGTCACAATATCAATTTATTATCGGGTCGCAATGGGGAGCAATGATGCCCGTCTTAGTAATTCCGTCGAGAGAGCGAAAAAAAAAACTGATTCGCGTGTTTTTGAGTTTTCGTCCGGCAACATTCTCTGAAGCTGGGGAGCTTGTAATGTACGCTTCAACACCTGCCGTCTACAATTGGCTCAAGGCAATAGTTAATAAAGTGACCTCTGTTAGAGATAACCACAAAATTGCATTGTCATAAATGAGTAACCGCTGTTTACCTCGCGATCCCGCAGGCTAATGTTGACATTGGGAACGGTGGGGCCGAAGCAGACAGCGGCTTAACTTACACTGTGTTTTTCTCTAAGATTGTGAAACTTCAATGAAGATCTCAATGGATCTGACTTTCGCATTTGTTTCACTGGCTTCGATGTTTTCGCTGATATTTGGTGAAAAGTGCGAACCGATCAGTATTAAATCATGCTCTAACGCAGGCTACTCTCTAACTGCAAGATTTCCTGACATAGACGGCACACCATACCAAGACTTTCTAGCGCCACGCTTGGATTTATACAACCTTTTGCTACAGTCTTGTTCAGCTTACGCTAGTACGATCCTGTGCTCGCTGTATTTGCCGAAATGCGAAGAAAAACGGACAGATCCTCAGCCTCCGTGCTACAAAGTCTGCAAAAAGTTTGCGACAGAATGCCAAAACCTTCTTAAAAAGGCAGGCCTCGCTGGAGTTTTCACTGTACTGTGCGATAAGCTACCCGATGGAAATTCAACTTCAAACGAATGTTTTTATCCGCCAAACTTTAAACAATCGTCATCTGGAGGTTAGTGTGAGTAGCGCGATAATGTGTTCGAATATTGTTTACCTCGAGCGAACTTGTCATTAACTTGATATATTATGTAACTATTTTGAATATGCTAATTGAGAAAGAGTTTGAAATTTGAATTTCTTGTTCAGCTAAACAAAAGTGATGTGGCTGTTGACTTGTTAGCTCAATTTTTTAACATGCGGTAAGTTTATCATCAAGTTATCTTCAAAACTGGAAACTCTTTAGTAACAACTAATGATGATATTACTTGAAAAAGTTCAAAATTCTGCATGATCTAATATGGAAAATTTATGACAAAAAAACAAGCTCAAAAGTAACATGAAACAATCTTCAAACTGCTGTTGAATAGAATTGATAATTTCTCTTGTAACAGAAGTGATAAACAATTAACATAGTAGGTCAGGTTATTGATTATTTCCTCAAGAAAATCTCTACTTTACCCCTATCAGTAATTCTTGTTGGAAACTCCAAGGGGAGAGGTTTAAATTGTAATTTCCTTCTACTTAAATTGCTACACTTTTGCAGGATCAAAACCTATTCCTAAGTGCTATGATGTTGTTGACCCAGTTTGCAAGAAACATTTACACTATAACAAAACAGTGATGCCAACAAGCTTACAAATAGGAGAAGAAACTTTGTTCCAGTCGATAATCAACAGCAACTGTTCTGATGAGTTGGAAAAGTTTATTTGCTATGCACAGTTTTCTCCTTGTGACCCCAAGCAGCCAAGAACAATTCAGATACCTTGCAAATCACTCTGTGTTAGAATTCACAAAAACTGTTGGAAGGAGTTCAACAAGGCTGGGCTACCCCTTCCACCTTGCGATTATGTTTACCCTGAAGATGATAATAATTCAACAGATATTTGTGAGGTTAAGAAGTGGCCAGCCTCATGGCCTGCACAATTTAGGCCACCAGCTCCTGGTGAGTGTTAAATAACTTGGATCAATGTCACTGTATCTGAGCAACTGCATACCAACCCCTCCCTTAATTCAACATTAACCCTAATGTGTTATCAGTTGACTGTTATTGGGTTGGGGAGGAGTAGGTACACAGTGGCTCAGATACTCTCATTGATCCGATAACGTCATGTCATTGTCAGTTTTAAAATATTTACATACCTTGAATTTCAAAATTTTGGTCAGAAGTTATTGAGACCAAGATGCAGAAACTGCACTAATACAGTTGAGTATATTCTAGCTGGTCTGTTAAGTACTAACAAGAGGATTTTTGAAACCTTGCATAATTGTTTAAATGATTTTCTCATTGCTGTACCTTAGCCCCACCAATGAGTGTAACATTAATGTAATGGCTATCATCAGCATGGTATAAATCACAGAGGCATTATTATTTTACCTGGGCTTACTACCATAAGATAACAGTTATCCTAATAAACTTTGAACACCATGAAATACAATTTTTTCAAACCTTTATAGGTTTAAATGCATATAAGTCTATTTGAGTCCTAAATCAGTTGGTCTCTTATTGTGACACTGATACTGTTTTTTCTAATGGATAGAAATTGGAACTTGCGAGGAGCTCACTGTGAAGTCATGTGCCAAAGCCAACTACAAATATACTGCTAAGTATCTTAAAGTTGGTAATGAGACCTTCCAACAGAAGAAAGGAAAACTGCTTGATCAACTTATTCCATACGTTGAAAGTTGTTCGCCTTACAGCAGTTTAATTCTTTGCTCATTATACCTGCCCAAATGTGTCCCTGGTAGTGCCAGACCAATGTTACCATGCAGACAAGTTTGTTTGGATTTTGTGGACAAGTGCAAGACAGAATTGACTTTGGTGTCAACTGTGGGAATGACAATAGCACTTTGTGATCTTCTTCCTTTTTATGATGGGACACCAAACAAGTGCATTATGCCAGAGAGTTTTAAGATGAAAGATTCCTTGCAATTATGTATGTTTAATCTCATTTGCCCAGACAAAGGGCTAATGCTTGAAACTTCAGCTTTGAAAACCTTTTACATGGCCAATTTACATTATCAACTCAGTTGATAATACTTAAAATGACCCTGTTATACTCTCCCACCAATGCAGTACCACAGTTTCTTTAGAAACTACTCCCTTTGTTCATTAGTATTTGATCATTAACATGTTTTGAGATGAGTGTTGTTTTTTTTGTTTGGTTTTTTTTTTTTTGTAGTCTCCACCAGAAATGTTTGCTACAAAGTAACATCTTCCAAGTGTTCCAAAGACCTTCATTATGACAAAACCTTTTTGCCAACGGATGATCAGAGAGCTGCAGAACTCACCATTCTCCAACCAGTCATTGATTCAGGATGCTCACCAGACATTGAAAAATACTTGTGCTTGATGGGCATGCCAAAGTGCACAGCAGATACTTCTGTGGTTCACTTGCCATGCAGGGAATTCTGCAAGAGGATAAATGATGACTGTGATGCAGTGTTGAAGGCTAACAGTATTGTCCCCCTTCCTTGTGATTACTTTTTTCCTGAAGGGGGTAGTTCAACTGGGCAGTGTGACTTGAAAAGTTGGCCTGCTCCTTGGCCTTGGAAAATTCCAGATCCATCTCCTCCTGTTTCAGGTAATGACTTACTCAATAGTTCATGGTTATAAGTCTCAGAAGCCAAGTTGCTCATCAGTGCTAGTTTTTATACAGGTTTCTCTGGTATGAGATAATGTTGAGTTTGTCCTTTTCCCCTGGATGGGATGCTGGATCATTGCAATTTCCCCACTGGCTTTTTTGTCAGGTATTCCTCCCTTGAGAGTTTGTTTACACCCATTTACACTCATTAGTGGAGAGGGGCTTTGCAAGGGTGAAGTGTCTTCCTCCAAGAATGGAACACACGACCCAGTTAGTGCTTGATCCAGACCTCTTGATCCAGATGCCAGCATGTTAACTGTCTGGCTAATGAGTTCTCAATGTGCATGCACCTTCATTGTTGTTATCTTATCATTATGGTTATCATTATCATCATTGTTATTGTTGTCTCTGTCGTTATCAATATCATAATTATTATTATTATTGTCATTCAATTTG